CGAACTGAGGGCAAGGGAGACGGGAAAAAATAGTGGTTGTTGGAAGAGCTTCATCAGCGTGTATCACTTGACGTGCTGATGGCAGTCCTCTGCTGCTGTGGGCCGGGCGGGCGCTCCACCGTGGCTCCCCACCGTGGCTGATGGCACCATCGACTCCGCGAACTGAGAGCGCAAAGACGGGAAGAACGAGCGGAGGGGACGTAGGGCACTGATGGCGAATGAGGTGCTGTGGCTACCCTTTGTGCGATAGCGCGAAGAGAGAAGTCTGCGGTGACAGAGCACACAAGTACCAGTGCAGTGCAGCGGAGTGGAACCCACTACACGCCGCGCAGTGGAAATGGCAAAATCTGTGTTTTACAAATACCAGAACGGGAGGCTACATTGAAAGTAGCGAGATGGAAAAGGGAGACATGGCGGGGAAGCAAATCGTACCGCAACAAGTGACTCGGCATCTCGCTCGCCATAGTATGACTCATGGTCATGCTCCCCATGCTCTCCATGCATGCTGCGTAGTGTGGTCACAAGCCATGCCACATGAAAAAACATTCACAGGGAACCATAACTGAGATTGCAAGAACCTAGAAAGCTGTGCACGTGGCCATACATGATAGGCGGGCCAACCTAGCGAGCAGGTCAACCTAACACGGAAGTCAACCTAGAGGTCAACCTAGCATGGAGGTCAACCTAGCATGGAGGTCAACCTAGCATGGAGGTCAACAGAGCATGGAGGTCAACCAAGCAAAGAGCCCCTTTGACCTGCACTCACCGCAGGTCCATGCCCTTGCGGAAGATGCGGATGGAAGGAAATCCTTGGATGTGGTTGCTGCAGTGGAAGGTGAGGGGAGAGGACAGGAGGCATGAGAGTGTTGAGAGTCGACCGACTGGACAAGAGAAGAACTGAATGTGTTTGCTGCTGCAGTGGAAGGCACAAGAGTGATTCGTGGGTTGCGTTGGCGAGGGAAGAAGTGAGTGGAAGGCGAGCGCACTCACTCTCGGCACTCGTCCTGGTAGATGGTGCAGTCGATCAAGGTCTATGACAATATGTGCGGACACATACGGCTTGCACGGGTCTGTCTTTTGTGACGAATCTGTTCAAGAGTGAAGGACACTCACTCTCGGCACACGTCCTGGTAGATGGTGCAGTCGATCTTGGCAAAGCGGATGCGGCCATCGTAGTCAGGATGGTACCTGGTGTAGGGAGAGGAGAGATAAGAGAGAAGCGGGGAAGAGAAAAGGTGACTTTTGAGTTGACTCAAAAGTCACATCGATGCGGCCATCGTAGTCAGGATGGTACCTGGTGTAGAGATGGGAGGTAGTAGAGAGAAGCGAGGGAGAGACGAGAGAGAAGAGAGTGAAGAGAGAGAGAAGGAAAGAGGGAGAGAAGTGGGATAAGAGGGAGAAGAACGAGGAGAGTGAGACGAGAGAGGAGAGAAAAAGAGAGATAAGTTACACATGGACAGATGCACGACTCAAGCAGGCAGCATAGTGAGTTGCTGCAGGACGTACGGTACAGTATGAATGACGGTAAGCATAGTACGAATGACTTACTTGCGATTGAGGACAGTCGCTGCCTTCTCCCATGCCGGCTCCTGCAAGCGAAGCAGGAGGAGACGAGTGGATGATGAGATTCACGTGGAAGGAGGGATACAGGGTGAGAGGAGGGTGGGGAAAGTGGCGGGACAGGAAGAGGGTGGAACGGGAGTAGGGGAAGCTGTAATGCGTCCAGGGCAAACAAGAAATAATATGGAAATCTGGAATTTCAGAGGTAGCTTCCCCCAACGGCGGCGTCTGAAAAAGCATGCATGTGCTGCACTGCACTCACCAGTCTCTGGCACCAGGGACACCAAGGGGCAAAGAAGTTGACCACGAGGATCTGATACCTGCTCAGGAGGGGCACAAAAGACGCAACGGAAGAGAGGAGACCGTTATCACTATGGATAGAAACCACAGCGGCAGCACAGCAGCATTTACCCAAACATGAACGCGTCTTTGTCTCTGCATATGAAGCGCAGGTCCAGCATTCACTGAGTGGGACACATTCCGAGATGCCTAAATCTCCTGTGTTTCTTGAGTTGAACACAGCCACACTCCCACTCACTCATGCGCAAAGTGTTCAAAGTTGTCCTTGTTGAGCACGAGCGACCCCACGTACTCATGCCCGTCCTCTGCCATCTTCTGGTTTACAGCCGACTCAAACCATCCCAACAGCACAGCACCACTCACTTGTGTGCAAGGTGCCAGCCCAACCGCACAGCACCACTTACTCATGCGCAAAGTGTTCGAAGTTGTCCTTGTTGAGCACGAGCGAGCCCACGTACTCATGGCCGTCCTCCGCCATCTTCTGATGCACCTCCTCCGTCGTCTCGTTGCTGTCCTCTCCGTGCTTTTCCGGCACTGGCAGCGGGTCCGGATGGTGCTCCGGTCCCACCCAGTTGCCTGCCGCGTCAATCGGATACTTGCGGACAGTCTTGCTCAAGTTGTAGCGCGCCTGTGGGTGAGGGATGTGGGTGATGAGGGCGGGGTTGGGATGGGAGGGGGAATGAGAGACGCTTCTCCGGCACTGGCAGCGGGTCTGGATGGTGCTCTGGCCCCACCCAGTTGCCTTCCGCGTCAATCGGATACTTGCGGACAGTCTTGCTCAAGTTGTAGCGCGCCTGCCGGTGGGGGATGTGGGTGATGAAAGGGTGGGGTTGGGAGGGGGAATGAGAGACGCCTCTCCGGCACGGGCAGCGGGTCCGGGTGGTGCTCTGGCCCCACCCAGTTGCCTGCCGCGTCGATCGGATACTTGCGGACAGTCTTGCTCAGGTTGTACCGGGCCTGAGGGGATGGGGGGATGTGGGGGAGGCGGGGGGAGGGGGGAAAAGGAAGGGGTTGATAGGGGAGGGGGGAATGAGAGATGCGCTGATGGGCAGTGCGCACTCCGTCTTGCTCAGGTTGTATCGCGCCTCCGGGGAAGTGGGGGATGGGTAAGTTGCGGGAGATGGGGGGGGGGGGGCGGAGGGGAAGTAGGAGGGAGATTGAGAAACGCGTCCCCTCAGGTTGTAGCGCGTCTGCGGGGATGCGGGGAAGGGTTCCGACGAGACGTGACCGAGGCACACTGTTGAGAATGGGTGCAATCTCCAGGGCGGTGTTTCTGTGTTGAAGTGCAGCAGTGTGCGGCGTTGAATGCGTGTGCCAGTAGTGGTGCGTCGCTGGATAAACATTGCAACTTGGCGTTCGGGCAAGTTGCCAAATTCAGGCAAAATGGGTGGAATGACAACACATTCAGCGGAAGTTCAAAACGGAATCAGGGCGGATTCAGGGAGGATTCGGGACTTACAGTTCCGAGCACGTCGGTGACGTCCACTGACGCGAACTCACATGACAGCGCTGGGAAACTGCACGGAGACAGAACAAAAAAATTAGTTTCAGAACGGATAATCCACTTAGACATCAAAGAAATTGCGGTGAATAATCCTTTACTGGTGGGTGCGAAGTCCGCATGAGACAGTGAGACATATTTATCAGTAGCGTCAAGCAGGGATCGCTGACCAGCCTCACCTGAAGTTGAAGTTTATCCGAAGCAGCTCGCCGTTTTGGCTCTGATCGACGATGACTTGCGTCGTGGTGGAAACCTTGAGGAAGCTGTTCAGTTCCTGAAAGGCGGAGAAGGTGAATGGCAATGCGTGAAAGACCCTAAAGCGACAGCGACAGAGATAAGAGGACAGATTAGCGCAAAGGGCAACGACGAACCAGCTCGAGCTGCTGTCCATTATCTTTTGATTTAGCTGCTTCAGTTAAGTTAGACGAGAGATAGAAGAGCGAAGTGACGTAGCTTGGAAGCCGTACCGCGACAAAGAGGAAGATCATGGTCGTCGCGGCTACGATCGAGAGGCCCGCACCGGAGAACGAAGCCTCGGTGAGATCCCGAGGGATCTTCCTGCGAAAATGAGCACCAGCCAAAAAGAATAGAAGGTAAAATAATATATTATAACGACATGAGAAAAGATCGAGAATCCACTACAGGCGACTCGACATTAGCACCCGAATGCTAACTAATACCGTCGACCGCAATCCATATATTATCGCACCTGTAGAAATCTATCGCCTTGAGTTTCGCGAAGGCCGACATGGCTGCAGACGTATACGAAAATCACTATGCTCTGGTCCGAGATGTAAAAGCAGTGATGATCTGCCGGCTGCCTGAGCAGCTATGCTACTAGATCCAATGAGACTGCAGCAAGTGCACGTATGTTCCCTCGCTTGCCGAGGGATCTACCACAACAGGGAAACTAGAGTGATGGAAATGGACCGACAGACACCTTGGAGTTGGTTTGTCCATTTGCAGGGAGTTCGGTTTTTTTTCAGAAGATATGAAATTGAACGCTAGAAGCGGAAATCGTTAACCTTGTAACGAGGACTTTTGGCAGCAGAGCAACAAGCCTGATATACTCGTTGTTGAGGGCTTCATTTTATGACACTCGTGTTTCCCCATGATCATGCCTTTTGGTGGCACGACATTTCGGATCAATCTTCAGAGTCTTCGTTGTTACGTCGTTTTCTTCCTGGCCTGTTGGCCAGTGTCTTTATTCTCTAATTACGGTTTCTAGCGATAGGCGCGGTTGTTATTACCACCCGTCTATTCAATCACAGCGAAATATTTTGAATTCAAGGATAAGAGCTTCCTAAACAGCAGCTGAAATTGGAAGGGAGCTCCGCGGTCGGCGCGGAGCCATGGAGCTGGAGGCGAGGCAGATGGAATGCTTAGAGCAGTACTTGCTCTTAGCTAAGAGCGCTCGAGGGAGAGCTCTAGTGGAGCTCGTGACAAAAGCCACGTCAGATCCGAATTTATTCGCGTTTGGGGAGCTCCTAGACGTTCCACAGATTAAAGAGGTGAATTTCATTGCCTCGCTTCCAATCCCCCTTTACGCGATTTTTTCAACTGAAGAGTATAATTTTTTTCGTGATCTCTATCAGGATTTGAATTTTAAATAGACGCAAGTTTTATCCTGACACTCCGCATGCAGTTGGAGGGCACGGATCACGCGTCCGCACTGGCGGTTCTGCGGCTATTCGCGTACGGCACGTGGCCTGAATACAAAGGTACGTCTCTTCTGCCCCGCCTGATGAGCATGAGCAACAGCGATTTCTACGCCGTTCGTTTCGCGACTGAATAGCACGCGACATGTGGATGGTACTGCTCTGCACCTACCCTATGCCGGAATGTCCATGCGTGCCGGTTTCTGATCGGTTCTTGCCGCGGTGTGCAGAGAAAGCGGCGCAGTTGCCGGAGCTACAACCGCAGCAGCAGTTAAAATTGAAGCAGCTCACAGTCATGACCCTTGCCGAGGGCTCCAAGGTGGGTTGTAATCTAACGCCACAGTCACAAGTGGGTTGTGTTGCTAGGGTTACAAGGTGAGTGAACTGGAGCTTGTGATCGGTCTGTGTGCGACTGTACCCCTATCACCCTTCCTCCCCCCACCAACCTCAACCCCCCCTTCCCCCAAATGCCTCCCCCTCACCACACACCTCTGTTTCATCTTGCCGCGTCCCGCGCTTCCAAGCAGCTACCATAGAGTCTGTGACTTTTTAGCTGACTTACAACCGCCTACATCCTCGCAATCATTGTCACTTCACGTCTTCAAATCCTCCATTTTACATCGTCCATCCTCGCTATAAGCAGGTTCTGCCGTACAGTGCGCTCATGGAGCAACTTGACGTCAGCAATGTGCGACAACTTGAGGATTTGCTCATTAATGACTGCATGTATGCGGTATGTGCTTATATAGAGCTGCTTGTATGTGAATCCCATTACCTAGTGTCTTAGCTTGTATGCGGTGTGAGACTCTATAGAGCTGTGCGTTTTTTTTTTTTTTTTTTTTGTAAACAGTGCTCACGACAGCATACGATCATGCAAGATTTCATGTATGTGCACATCCCTCCAGTTGCCAACATGTAACTCGTGCACACGGTGTGGTGGTAACCGTATGGCATGGTGGTAACCGCATGGCATGGCAGGGCATTCTGCGGGGCAAGCTGGACCAGAGGAGCCGGTGTGTGGAGGTGCAATTTGCTGCAGGCAGGGACCTTCGCCCGGGCCAGCTCTCCTCCATCCTTGCCACGCTCTCCCAATGGTCAGTCTGTCAGTTTGAGCGAGGGAGCACCAGCGAGGAGTTAGAGTCGTATGTGAGTCCGTCAAAGCATGTGCTTAACCCAATTCTCGCCGTGTTCTCCTGTCCCCCCTTGTGCTTCCCTGTCCCCCCTTGTGCTTCCCTGTCCCCCCTTGTGCTTCCCTGTCCCCCCTTGTGCTTCCCTGTCCCCCCTTGTGCTTCCCTGTCCCCCCTTGTGCTTCCCTGTCCCCCCTCGGTGTGCTGCAGGGTGGCGACGTCAGAGGCGATGCTGGGGACGATAGAGAAGCGGATCCAGTGGGCGGATGAGAAGGGCGAGGAGTGGGCCAAGCACAAGCGGGAGGTGGAGGAGCAGGTGGAGGAGGCCAAGAAGAACATCCGGGTGAGTGGGTGCGGGTGCGGTGTGTGGTCTTGGACAGGAGTGCTCGTACAGGTTTAGCGAGTTGACTTTTGAGTCAACTCAAAAGTGAGTGGGTGCGGGTGCGGTGTGTGGTCTTGGACAGGAGCACTTGTACAGGTTTAGCTGTATGTGAGCTCATTAGGAAGGTGCTCTAGCTACACCTGAGAGCCCAAGCGGGAGGTGGAGGAGGCAAAGAAGAACATCCGGGTGAGTCGGTGCGCCGTGTGATTGAGTTTTCAAATTGTGTGCGCGCGTCGTGTAATTGAGCTTTCTAAATGTGTGCGGCGCCACTTACGAGCATTGGTGATGCTTGAGAAGCCTTTGAAGCTTCAGCAGTACTGTACTTGAATCATGGTCATGAAGGGAAGGGACATCATGGTCATGAAGGGACATCATGGTCATGAAGGGACATCACATCACACAGCTCCACTTGGCTTGATCCCCCTATCCTCTCCTCTCACCCCTCTCCATCCTTCTGTCTATCCTCCCCCTCTCTTTCTGTCTCGAACCAGGCTGAGATGGAGATCCGAGGGCCAGAGACCATGCTCGTAGAGGGACCATCACATAGCAGCACTTGATTCCCGCATCCATTTCTCTAACCCCATCCTTTCTCTTCTCTCTGTCTCTCTCTCCAACCAGGCTGAGATGGAGATCCGAGGGCCAGAGGCCATGTTCGTGGAGGGGCCTTCCCATAGCACCGCTTGGTCAATTCTAACTATCCATGTTTCGACCCCTGTCCATCCTTCCTCTCACCCTGCCTTCAACCAGGCTGAGATGGAGATGCGGGGGCCAGAGGCCATGTTCGTGGAGGGGCAATCGCATAGCAGCAATGGATTTCCTTATCCATTATCTAACCTCGGCACACCCTTTTCCTCTCTCTGTCTCTCTCTCCAACCAGGCTGAGATGGAGATGCGGGGGCCAGAGGCCATGTTCGTGGAGGGGCCATCAGCAGGAGGATCAGGGCTGGGCATGGGAATGGGCATGGGCATGGACTATGGGGAGGAGATGGATCGTTCGCGACCAAAGAGGTCAGCAAGGTGCTCCCCTCTCTCTGTCTTGCTCGCTCGCTCTTTCTTTCTCTCTCTTTCCACCTCTATCGCTGTATCCCTTTCTTCCTTGCCCATTTTTTTCAGTTTCTCGTCCCCAAATTCCTTGCAGTTTGTCTTGCCCATTTACTTGTCCTGTTTAATTTCCTCGTCTCTCTCTTCTTCCTGTTTCCGCTCATCTCTTGTAGTTCACTGAATGTCGTTGCCATTGCTTTCCACTTATAGCGTCCATGCAACCACCCAACTTATTCAGTCACCTATGCACCCACCCACCCACCCACCCACCCACCCACCCACCATTCTACCATCCCACCTACTTACTCACCCAATCAATTTCTCCGCTCTCCAATGCAGGAGGAGATGAGGCTCGCCGCTTGCCTCTTTAACTTCCTATCACCATCAGCTTTCCATTCCGATCCCAGAAGTCGCCACAAGTGGGATTCTTCCCCAGTACGGTATATTACATCATTACACTACAATAGCACATGGAAACTGTTCTGAAGAACATGGCTTTGTGTATCTGTCCGTATTGAATTCAATTCTTCCTTGTATGAAAGCCATGTGGAGGTGCTTAGTAGATGCTGAGTGCACTGCTCGGTTAAAGCATGAGGCTGTTCGTATAGCTCTCCTACTGTTCATATAGTGCAGACGCCATCACAATGCACAGGTGGTGCGTAGGCTAGGCTAGGCATCCAACAGCTGTGCATCCAACAGTATGCATCCAACGGCTGTGCATCCAACAGTATGCATCCAACGCTGCTCAGCCCACATACCGGTATTCTAATGAGGCCCGCAGGGCATGCCGCTACTCTTGATGACCAAATTCTGAAAGAATCAACACTTGCCAGCTTTCTAACCGGCCCATGTGAATAATTCCTCAGAATGTGATTGACATGCATTTTGTACAATCTGCATTGCACTCGAATCATGCATGTAATGAAACAGGCTGCGAATGGAACCTCATGCGAATGGAACATTCTGTCCGCCACTGACAAACAGGGTCCTTTAGTACTTGACTCCTGCGACTCAAATGAGCCGGGGGGGGTTGCTTTGCACACTAGCCCAGAAGTAGTGGCGGCCGCTTGGGAAGGACTGGGATGTGGTCGACTCTGGTGGGATGGAGAGGGGTGGGGAGGGGTGGAGGGGGGGAAGACAGAGTGAGGGGAAAAAAGTGGATGGGGAGGCAAGGAGAGGGACAAGAGGGAGAATGAGAGGAGAGGGAGCAGGGGAGGACAATCAACACGAGGCAAATTGCTGCACCTCCTGATCGCTTACATCCTCACACCAGCAATCACTTTTGCTTGAGTTTGAACAGCCCAGAATGATGCATTCCAAAATCCCATCAATCTAGTCCTTCCGCCCATGCACCCCTCACAACCTCGGGAATACTACAATACCATACCTACCACCTTAACCCCTCACAACCCCACTCAAATACCAACTTTTTCTTAAGCTTGAACATCCCTGTGCCCACAGGCATGGGGATGCCCATGATAAGACACTCCAAACCCCCCTCAATCTCGTCCTTGCCTGCGTGCACCCCTCACAACCGAACACCACCACTCACTTTTGTTTGAGTTTCGGACCCCCTTGCCAACTTACTTCTGCTTAAGCTTGAACAGCCCTGTGCCAACGGGCATGGGGATGCCCATGATGATGCACTCCGAAACCCCCTCAATCTCGTCCTTGCGCCCGTGCATGGCCAACAGGCACAGGAAACTTGCATTCCCATACCTACCACCTCAACCCCCAATAGATACTCACTTCTGTTTGAGTTTGAACAGCCCTGTGCCAACGGGCATGGGGATGCCCATGATGATGCACTCTGAAACCCCCTCGATCTCGTCCTTGCGCCCGTGCACGGCGGCGTCAAAGAGGTGGTCCGTGGTCTTCTCAAAGGACGCCAGCATGAGCACACTGTCCTTCATCTTCGCTATGCCAAACCGCGTGATTCCCAACACCTCGCCCTGCGCAAAGGGGGCAGGAGAAGGGAGCAGGGGAGAGGGGAAGGAGGAAGCAGAGAATGAAATGGGGAAGCGGATAGGGGAAGGGGAGGGGGAAGTGGAGGGGTAAGGAGGGGGAGGGGGAAGAGGTGTGCACATGAGCATCAAAGAGGTGGTCCATGGTCTTCTCAAAGGACGTCAGCATGAGGTGCTCCTCTAAAAGGTCTTCCTCTTGAGGTCGTCCTTTGAGCATCAGCATGAAGGTCGTCCGTGGTCTTCCTCTAAAAGAGGAGCACACTGCCCTGCCCTTCATCTTGGCACCTCGCCCTGCAGGCCGGGAGGGGAACAGGGGAGAGACGGGGACAGGGGAAGTGGGAACAAAGGGGAGGAAAAGCGGGGGAGGTGGGGAGGGAGAATGGAAGGGAGAAGGGAAGGAAGAAGAGAAGGGAGGGGGGTTCAGCTGGGGATGGGGATGGGGTGCAAAGGGATTGTATCACAGACGATGTGGTGTGAGCCGAACGCCAATCTCACCTTGTAGGTCATGACGTCAGCGAGCAGCATCATGTGGCGGGGGTCGATGGTCATGCCGTGGGAACCCATGGTGTAGTTGATCTCGTGCATGATGGCATACCGCGCCGCCTCTATCCCCAACACCGATTCCACCTCCATCACGTGATTGCTCTTTGTCTTGCACCCGTCCACGCCTGTTATGCCCAGCACTGCACCGAAGTTGGTCCTGCAATGCAAGCAAGAAAATGGTGTGGGAAAGAGGTGCAAATGTGCATCGGAGTGTACCTCGAAGCCTCTATCCCCAACACACTCTCCACCTCCATCACGTGATTGCTCTTCGTCTTGCACCCGTCCATGCCTGTTACTCCCATGTGCATGTGCTGCGCCTTGACCTTCACTCCCTCACCCATTCACCCTTCACTATCATCCCCCACCCCAATCCCCCACTCACTCAATCCCCATCCCTCACTCCCCCCTACTCCCTCCAACCCCATCTCACCCTTCAACCAGCAGGTTGTACTTGCCCCCGCCAAGGTCGTTAATAACCGCCCGTTCAACACTGGCGATGCCCTTGACCATGATTTGCGGCAGCTTCTTCCGCAGGCTATGCAGCGAGAAGAGCATGTGTGTGCAGTCACAAGCAAGCACTCACCCTTCCACCAGCAGGTTGTATTTCCCGCCGCCAAGGTCATTAATCACAGCCCGCTCCACGCTCGCGATGCCCTTGACCATGACTTGCGGCAGCTTCTTCCTTAGGCTGTGCAGCGAGAAGAGCAGCTGCCTTCTGTCCTGCTCGGGCGAGTAGACCAGCAGCTTGTCCGCGCTCACCACGCGGATGTGCTGCGCCTTCAGCTTCATGCGCAGGCGCGACGCAGTCGTGATGGCGTCTGCGACCGTGTAGGCGGTGATGTCGAGCTGGAGAGCGCTGATTCGATGCATGTCGAGACGGATCGAGAGCATCGCTTGGCTGGGGGTCAGGACGGTTTTCATACTTTTAACCACCTGAAGGTGGGGGGAATGGTGAGGGAAAGAGGGCGGGAAGGCGTGGGGGGGTAAGAGGAGTGAGATGAGTAAACGAGCAGCTTGGCCGCGCTCGCCATGCGGATGTGCTGCGCCTTCAGCTTCATGCGCACCCACAACGCGGTTGTGATGGCGTCGGCGACGGTGTAGGCTGTGATGTTGAGCTGGAGGGCGCTGACTTGGTGCATGTTGAGCTGGAGGGCGCTGACTTGGTGCATGTTGAGCTGGAGGGCACTGACTTGGTGCATGTTGAGCTGGAGGGCACTGACTTGGTGCATGTCCAGCCGGATTGAGAGCATTGCCTGGCAGGGAGTGAGAACAGTCTTCATGCTCTTGACCACCTGGGGGGAGATGAGTGAGGATGCACATGTGGGAGGGTTTTGGGGAGCAGAGAAGCGAAAGAGCTGTTGAGTCGGTGCATGTCGAGGCGGATCGAGAGCATGGCTTGGCTGGGAGTGAGCAACGTTTTCATGCTCTTGACCACCTGGCATGGGGGGGTGTACTTCTCCAGTTGTGAGTATAATGAGGACCCCCCTAGGGTGGACTTCTTGATGCACCCCTTGAAAACGGGGGAAACCCTGACATTGTCATTCATATGAGTAGCAACAATAATGAGTGAGTTGTGATGTGACTATTGTGAGGGAAGAGTCAATTCCACACACCTCTCCCAGAGTGGTCTTCTCAATGCGCCCCTTGACAATGCGTGCGGCCTTGACATCGTTGCTAGTCTCCAGCTCGACAGTCACGATGGGCCTTTTAAGTTGAATCGCATCTCACTATTCTGCTCACCTCCCCCAACGTGGTCTTCTCAATGCGCCCCTTCACAATGCGAGCCGCCTTCACGTCATTGTCCGTCTCAAGCTTGACAGTCACAATGGGCCTTTTGAGTCGAGTCACTGCGCATCTCACTATTCTGCTCACCTCCCCCAACGTGGTCTTCTCAATGCGCCCCTTCACAATGCGAGCCGCCTTCACGTCATTGTCCGTCTCAAGCTTGACAGTCACAATGGGCCTTTTGAGTCGAGTCACTGCGCATCTCACTATTCTGCTCACCTCCCCCAACGTGGTCTTCTCAATGCGCCCCTTCACAATGCGAGCCGCCTTCACGTCATTGTCCGTCTCAAGCTTGACAGTGACGATGGGTGTGCTGATGTTCTTGGCCGCGTTGATAATCTCCTTGATTCGCGGCACTCCCAGAGTCACATCTGTGGTTTATGGGAAGCAGGCAAGAGAGGGTATGAAGGTGGAAGCTTGAGAGTGAAATCAGAGGCAGCTTGACAGTGACGATGGGCGTGCTGATGCTCTTAGCTGCGTTGATTATCTCCTTGATGCGCCGCACTCCCAAGGTCACGTCTGGATGGACGATGGGTGGATGGGGAGAGATGGTATAGAGGTGAGGCTTGAGGCAGCACAAGAGCCCGCTTGAGAGCGACGACTGCTGACGCTGACAGTGACAGCGACAGCCAGCATGGGGAGAGAGCAAATGGAAGAAGAGGTTTCATGGGATGGGATTGGGAGAAGAGAGGACGTGAGTAGGAGAACGATAGTGAGAAGGGGACTGCATCCTGCTCACGTGATTGTATATTTGGACCCAGTCGCAAGTTCATGCACTCACTCGCACCTCCTAGCTCATACACTCGTTCACTCCACTCCTTCCAGCCATACGGATGATCTTCGAATTTATATGTGTCTGGCTGTTGCGGCTGAGCAGAGGACAGTGTCGCAACTGCAGGCTTACGTAAAAACGATTGCTCAAAACTCACTCATGGAAGCAACGCCAGCGAAATGGAAGGTCTTGAGAGTCATCTGTGTGCCTGGCTCGCCTATGGACTGTGCCCCGATGGCCCCCACTGCTGTGCCCGGCTCCATGCGCTTGGACTGGTAGCGGCGAATGCACGTGTCTAGGAATAGCTGTAGGTGTTGTTTCGGAAGGGAGAGGGGGAAGGGGAGAGGGACCGGGGGGAGGGAGAAGTGGGGAACAAGTCACATGGTGATGATGAATCACAGAGCACCGCTACACACCACACCACACCATGCCATGCCACACATCTCCTCACCTGCAGTTGCTTGGCTTTCACCCCACACAGGTTCCGAGCCACCTTCTCAGCCACCCCTCTCTCCAGCACCTTCTCAGCCACCCCTCTCTCCAGCACCTTCTCAGCCACCCCTCTCTCCAGCACCTTCTCAGCCACCCCTCTCTCCAGCACCTTTTCAGTCATCATCATACCTAAGACACCACTGACTCCTTGCTCCCTCACCTGCAGTTGCTTTGCTGTTATCCCACACAAGTTCCGAGCTACCTTCTCCGCCACCCCTCTCTCCAACACCCTCTCCTTCTTCCCCTCCCCTTCGCCTTCCGCCTCCTCTTGCCCCTCCCCTTTCCCTTCCCCCTCCACTTTTCCGTCCCCCTTCCCCTCCCCATTTCCTTCTTCTGTCTCAACACCCTCTTTCCCAGCCTTCCCATCCACCTCCATAGCATCCTCTACCCCTCTCTCGGTCTCCTCCTTGGTAACTGGTAACCCTAGTCGCCGCCTTGTCCCCTCGATCGCCCCCAGCTGCTTGTCCAGAAAGCCAAGTACCGAGTCTCGGAACCGAGTGGAGCAGCCGCCCTCTGACTCCGGGTCGGCAAACTCCGGGGCGGCGAATCTTGTCTGCATGTGCGCGCGCATCTCGTCGGGGAAGAGCGGGGGGTCGCTGCGCATGGGACGCAAGGCCTGGTGTGGGAAGAAGCAGTGCGGGGAAGAGAGGAAGAGAGGAAGAGAGGAAGAGAGGAAGAGAGGAAGAGAGGAAGAGAGGAAGAGAGGAAGAGCAAGAGGTGGGATAGGTAAGTGGGAATACAGGAGGCTACATTCCACCCTCGCATCTCGTCGGGGAAGGGAAGGGGGGTCCCTCCGCATGGGACATAGGGCCTGGTGGTGGAAGGGGCCGGGGTAGGACGGGAGAGGGGACGGCAGGGTGGAAGAGGGGAGGGGGGATAGGCAAGGGAGCACGGCCACTTGAATCCCAGCACAGTATCACGCCACACCCTTATGCGCGCACCTGACACGTGGTAAAAGAGCGGTCCAAGTTGAGCGCCCCCCCATCGCTGCCCTCCATGTGGGCGGGGTCCATGCCATTGTCGCCATACCGCATCTGCACGATGCCGCCACTGGCGCTCCTCCCATTCCCTCACCTGCCATTCCCTTACCCTCCACGCTGCTACCCTCCACCTTCCTACCCGCCACGCACCTGGCATGTGGTGAAGGTACGATCAAGGTTGAGCGCCCCTCCGTCACTGCCCTCCATGTGAGCGGGGTCCATGCCATCATCGCCGTACCGCATCTGCACGATGCCGCCACTGGCGTTGCGCACCGTGCCATCGTACGCCACTGACAGATCCTCCAGCGCCTTCATCAGCCGCCGCGACATGTACCCCGTCTCTGCTGTTTTCACCTGGGGAATCACATGACGGGGACAAGCGGTTCGGGTCAGGTGGGGAAGAGCTGCAGTGCAAGATATTTGTGCATTTTAAGAGCCGTACGAAGGTGAGGAGGGGAGGTGAGAAGGTGAGGAGGAGAGTGGAGAAGGTGAGGAGGAGAGGGGAGAAGGTGAGGAGAGTGAGATGACAGTGGAAGGATGTGGGAGGGCGGAGGGGCACTCACAGCAGTGTCAACGAGCCCCTCTCGGCCGCCCATGGTGTGGAACACAAACTCCGTGGGTGTCAGCCCGCTGTAGAACGAGTTTGCCACAAAGCCCTTCGCCTGCCATGGTGGTGAGGATGGTTATGACGAGGAGGGGATAGAGAGGTTCAACACGAACATGAGTGAAGCAAGGAGCACAGATCCTCAGAACATCGTGCCAGGTACAAACCCCTATTGGGCAGTGGAATGTGGTGGAACGTGGTGGGATTCTGCTGCACAAAAAGCAGTTCATTTCAGATTACGTGAAAAAATGTTGTATTTGGTGTTGCATTACACTCCACGAAACAGCACAGCACAGCACCGCACTAGACTCCGCTACATACCTACTAATTGCTGACTAGACCAGTCTTTACAATATACCACAGACGGCCAGACCCACCAGCACCGCACTGTACACCTGCGGCGAGCGGTCGTGGCGGGGGAAGTGCGGGAGGGAGCGGTGGAGGAACCCATTGGGAGCTCGCTTGCCACCCACGGACTGCTGGCCCACACAGGCGACCATCTGCGATATGTTGATAGGCGACCCCTTGGACCCACACTGCACCGCACTACACATCTACAGAACCAGTCCTACCGAAGAAAACCGCGTGCAACAATACCAATCCCAGCAACACCGCACTGCACCTGAGGCGAGCGGTCGTGGCGGGGGAAGTGCGGCAGGGAGCGGTGGAGGAAACCGTTGGGCGCTCGCTTGCCGCCCACAGACTGCTGGCCCACACAGGCGACCATCTGCGATATGTTGATAGGCGACCCCTTGGACCCACACTGTGACATGATGAGCGGACTGTTGCGCCAATGCAGCTCCCGCAGACACACCTGGAATCAGTGTGGGGGTAAGAGGGGATAAGGGAGGAAGGGGATCAGGAGCTACCTGGTTCGACCCTGTTCCTGCCCGCCTTTCTGTCGACTCTTGGTGCTCTTTTCGACCCCTTGGACCCACACTGTGACATGATGAGCGGGCTGTTGCGCCAATGCAGCTCCCGCAGACACACCTGGGTGGTGTGGGGAAGGAAGGAAGAGGGGTAAGAGGGGATTTCAGGGGCTACATGGTTTGATCCTCTCTGCAATCCTCTGCTCAACCTAGCTCCTGGTGCTCACCACATTTCTCATGCACGATTTAGCCTTTGTCTCTTCTCAGTCTCACCTTCCCTGCCTCCTCTCGAATCCTGTTCAGCTCGCCGGTAATATTCGCCTCTAGTGTCTGGGCAGCATTGCACCCGGGCTGCAGAGTCAACCTCCCCTCGTTGAACGCCTGGATGTGCTGCAGACTGGCATCGTACCCCTCCTCCACGGCCCGCTGCTTCTCGTTGTACAGATGCTTGGAAGGCTGCACGTCGTCTATCCCGATGGAGAACCCGTGGTTGCCTATCCACCTCGCACTGATAGGGCCACGCCAGGCCACGCCAGGCCAGGCCACGCCAGGCCAGGCCAGGGCAGGGCAGGGGAGGGGAGGGCAGGGGAGGGCAGGCAGGGGAGGGCAGGGGAGGGCAGGCAGGGGAGGGCAGGGGAGGGGAGGGGAGGGGAGGGGAGAGGAGAGGAGGGAAAAAGAGAGTCAGCTTGCATTGTACCCGTGGTTGCCAATCCACCTCGCACTGATAGGGGTGGGGCAGGGCAGGGGAGGGGAGGGGAGTGGAAGGGAGATGGCTCGTATCGTACCCCTCCTCCTCCGCCCTCTGCTTCTCCGCGTACAGTACGGCTGCACGTCGTCTATGCCGATGGAAAAGCTTTGGTCGTTTATCCACCTCGCATTGGGAGGGGGTTGGGGGGTGGAGAGTGATAGTGCGAAGGGTGTGTGAACACTAGGAAGAAGAGAGCGGAATGGAGAGACGCGGCACTTTTCGAGTCATATCCAACACCCTCGCACATCCCCTCACCCTATCCCGGTCCCTCACCTGAGCTTGGCCAGTCGGTTCATGCACACGGCAGCCACTTGCGCCGAGTACTCGCGCATGAGCAGCGCAAACAGACCCTGCTTGCTGCCGTTGCCTGCACGCATGCACACAAGCAACGAGGAGAAGGTAGCAAAATGGTTTGCTGAGTGTACTTTGGGTGTATACCATCTGTTTGTACTCAAAACACAGATGGAGAGAACGAGAGACCGTGTGGATAATAATGGGCTACAAACAACAGCCTGCTGAATGCAAGCAAGCGAGCAAGAACAAGGTTTGTTTTGATCAATTGGTTGAAGCTGAATTCCTGCCTGGAGCTCACCTAGAGTGGCCTTCCCCAGCTGCCCCGACAGCAGCTTGCTGTTGCGGAAGAACACAAACCCGTCGTTCACACAGAACAGCCCGCCCTTCTTGCTGTAGATCTTTTCCCCCACCACGCCTGCCCTGGACATTCTCAAAAACACCAACACGCTCACCTAGAGTGGCCTTCCCCAGCTGCCCCGAGAGCAGCTCGCTGTTGCGGAAGAAGACAAACCCGTCGTTGACACAGAAGGGGCCGCCCTTCTTGCTGTAGGTCTTCTCGGCACGCCGAGCGTGACAAACACGCGGTCGTGCGCGGAGGGGCGCACGAGTGTGACTGCCTGTCTGACTGCCTATATGCCTGCCTGAGTTTTGAGGCGCCTCAAAAGGCGCACGAGTGTGACTGCCTGTCTGACTGCCTATGTGCCTGCCTGAGTTTTGAGGCGCCTCAAAAGGCGCACGAGTGTGACTGCCTGTCTGACTGCCTATGTGCTCACCTAGCGTAGCCTTCCCCAGCTGCCCCGACAGCAACTCGCTGTTCCGGAAGAAGACAAAACCATCATTGACACAAAACGGCCCGCCCTTCTTGGTGTAGGTCTTCTCAGGCACGCCGAGCGTGACAAACACGCGGTCGTGCGCGGAGGGGCGCACGAGCACGCCTATGAGCTGCTTGCCCGTCCACAGCTCCACTGGCTTGAGAAGTGCGGGCGTGGGTATGTCCACTTGCATCGCCCCGTCCGTCATGTAGGAACAGAGCAGGCAGAAGGAGGCGCGGTCGTAAAAGGTGTCTCTGGGAGGACAGGGTGGGGGTGGAAACAGCGGGACGAGAAGAGGGGAGGGGGAAATGGGACGAATCTTGCGTTGACTGAGAGGCACGCCCAATGTGACAGACACCAGCACTGAGGGGCGCGGAGGGGCGCACGAGCACGCCTATGAGCTGCTTGCCCGTCCACAGCTCCACTGGCTTGAGCAGTGCGGGCGTGGAGATGTCCACTTGCATGGCGCCGTCCGTCATGTATGAACAGAGCAGGCAGAAGGAGGCTCGATCATAGAAGGTGTCCCTGGGAGGGTAATGGAAGGGGTACAGGGAGGGTGATGGGCGGGATCGGGGGGTGACGGTTCAGACGAGGAAGGGGAATGAAGAGATGCTTGAAACTCACCATGCTGTGCAATGTGCACAGCTGGAGAGGGGTAGGAGTGGCAGTGTACCGTCTGGTGATGAGGAAGGCGGAGGTGAGGAAGTCCTGGGTGGAGGCGACTAGAATCTCCCCGTTCTTGGGCGTGCACAGGTTGTTCTCCACCTGACAGGTGCATCAAGAGAGATTGGTTCAACGCAGAGATATAGAAGGAGATGAGATCCGGATTGCCTCAAAGGGCACGAGGTTGCCACTTTTCTTGCTGGGCGAGCACAGATCGTATACCACCTTACAGAGGGATACGAGAGAGATTGATGGAGAGGGAAGGGGTCGAGAGTTGAGGATTGTTGGGATTACTGCCAGAAACGCCAACATATCGCAAGTTAACTCACCAAAACCAAACAAAAACGCATCGAACTCCTTGAAAGCATACTGAACCGCACTGAACTGCCGCACATACCCCCATGAGAAGCAGGGCTTCTGTCCTGGCCTCCTCGGTTTGCGGCACGTGCATGTTCATCTCATCGCCATCGAAATCCGCATTGTATGGATTGCACACACTCTCGTTGAAGCGAAGTGTCTTCCATGGCATCACCCTTGCCTGCAAGCAATGCATGGAGAAAAGAGAAGGATGTGTTGAATATGTCATCAGCGCTATGACAACACATATTCACATCACCCTCACATATGTGCAGCCCAGACTATAGCAGGATGAGTTTCACCCTCACACCACCTGTTAACAAAACGTGGTGGCACATGATGGACATGCGATGCAGTACTGCCCATGCAGCACCACCCATGCAGACAACCACTCATGCACACCACGATCCACACTCCACCCTACCCGATGGCACATGATGGACATGCGAAGTAGGCTGGACTGGCGGTTGAACAGCACCATGTCGCCATCCCCTAGATGCCTCTCACCCTCCCCTATCAAGCAACATCAAACCACCCATTGCCACATCACCCATATGCGCCACGCCACCCATCCACCCTACCCGATGGCACATGATGGACATGCGATGCAGGCTGGGCTGGCGGTTAAACAGCACCATGTCGCCGTCCTCCAGATGCCTCTCCACTATGTCCCCATACTTGAGCTCTGCTGCTACTCTCCTTCTGTCTCCATACTTGAGGAACCTGGGGGACAGGTGGGTAATGTGAGGGACAAGGAATGTGAATTCAACACCGGCATGTGAAAGGCACATATAGCAGCACCATGTCGCCATCCTCCATATGCCTCTCCACTATGTCCTCGTACTTGAGGAACCTGGTGTGGGGCAAAGGACATGGGTGCAGGGAGCCCTGTAGTGGATGCATGGGCATGAGGATGAAACACGGGCATGTCACGGAGACGCGTGAACCTCTTTGCAGTGTAACACGGAACTGGGGCTGCAGTCCCGGCAAGGAGACTGGAGCTGAAGTCCCGGCAAGGGGACTGGAGCTGCAGTCCCGGCAAGGGGACTGGAGCTGCAATCCCGGCAAGGGGACTGGAGCTGCAATCCCGGCAAGGGGACTGGAGCTGCAATCCCGGCTTGAAGACTGGAGCTGCGGTCCCGGCAAGGGGACTGGAGCTGCAGTTCCGGCAAGGGGACTGGAGCTGCAGTCCCGGCTTGAAGACTGGAGCTGCAATCCCGGCTTGAAGACTGGAGCTGCAGTCCCGGTTTGGGGACTGGAGCTGCAGTTGGATAGCACACGCACCACTTGTTGCCGTTGGGGTAGAGCACGAAGTTAGCCCCTGGGTACTTGGCGGTGCCGTTGATGACCAGCTGCCTCAGCTTGTGGATGTTGTGTCGACTCACCGCCTCGGGGAATGTCAACAGCTGCGCCATATGCATCGGCACCGCCACCTGCAAGGGGACTGGAGCTGAAGTCCCGGCAAGGGGACTGCAGCTGCAGTCCTGGCTTGAAGACTGGAGCTGCAGTCCCGGCAAGGGGACTGGAGCTGCAATCCCGGCAAGGGGACTGGAGCTGCAGTCCCGGCAAGGGGACTGGAGCTGCAGTCCCGGTTTGGGGACTGGAGCTGCAGTTGGATAGCACACGCACCACTTGTTGCCGTTGGGGTAGAGCACGAAGTTAGCCCCTGGGTACTTGGCGGTGCCGTTGATGACCAGCTGCCTCAGCTTGTGGATGTTGTGTCGACTCACCGCCTCGGGGAATGTCAACAGCTGCGCCATATGCATCGGCACCGCCACCTGTGGGTGAGCCAGAGGTAGAGAGTAAGACGGTCAGAGGGTCAGAAGGACAGAAAGCCACAGGGGTTTCTTAGGATGCAAGAAGGCCATCACTTGCTGCAGTGTTACACCGCCAGTTGACGCGCTCACGGCTACAAAAGTGGCCCCAAATTTAGCCCCCTCCACAGCTTGTCACTTCATGATTGCATTGACGTGGGCTGTAACAATACCATTACTCAGTGCAAGCACTCCCGACAAACCTCGGAGATCTTGAGGTTGGGGTCGGGGGAGATGACAGTGCGGCCACTGAAGTCCACTCGTTTGCCGGACAGGTTCTGTCGGAACCGCCCCTGCTTGCCCTTCAGCCGCTGCACGAACCCTCTAGTTGGCTTCGTGGGCTGTGCTGCTAGGGGCAGGCCGGGGAGCTCCGAGTTTATGTAAAGCCCCACTTGCAGTTGAAGGAAGTCCCAGTTCTCCTGTTAAGCATACAGGGGCATAGGAAATAACCGATTTGCAGATAGGGAGGATGAGATATTGAGAGGTGAGGCGTGCATCAGGCTTTGTGGGCTGCGCTGCCAACGGCGGCCCTGGCAGCTCAGAGTTGATGTAGAGGCCCACTTGGAGCTGAAGGAAGTCCCAGTTCTCCTGTTTGTGTGCAGAGGCATTTAGAGAACAGATTTACTATGAGAAATGGGGAGAGGTGAGAAGTGCAACCAGGGAGTTGATGTAGAGACCCTAAACCCTGAACCCCGAATTCTTCTACCCTGAACCCTCTGAAACCACAGAACCGTGCACACTGACCACGAGGTTCGGCACGGGCAGCCCTTTCTGGTGTGTTTTGAGTCGACTCAAAACACATCTGAAACCACAGAGCCCTGCACTGACCACGAGGTTGGGCACGGGCAGCCCCTTCTGGATGCCAAGTCGGAGCGCGCTGTTGACTTCAATGATCACCGCCCGCTTCATCGTCGCATCGTCCTCGTTGCTGCTCCCCGCTCCTCCTTCCACCCCCAACCCCAAAACCCCGAACCCCAGAGCCCTGCACTCACCACGAGGTTGGGCATGGGCAGCCCTTTCTGAATGCCGAGTCGGAGCGCGCTGTTGACCTCGATGATCACCGCCAGCTTCATCGTCGCATCGTCCTCGTTGCTCCCCGCCGCTGACTCCATCACCACGGACGGACGGATGGCCACTGGGGGGACCGACAGGTGTGTTACTATGAGGCGCTCGGGGCGATAGTAGAGGTCTAGAAGCTCGCAGTCCTGGGGTGGGGAGCGGAGGGTGAGGGGGAGGGGGGAGGAGGGGGAAAAGAGGAGAAGTGAGGGGAAGTGGTGCAAAGCAGAGCAGGCAGGGGAACATTACATGGCCGACGCCATCACCACCGATGGACGGATGGCCACTGGCAGCACCAACAGGTGCGTTACTATGAGGCGCTCGGGGCGATAGTAGAGGTCTAGAAGCTCACAGTCCTGGGTAGGCTGGGAAGAGAAGGGGAAGAAGTAAAGGTGGGGCATCAACAAGTGTGTCACGATGAGGCCCCGCTGCCGACTCCAGCACCACCGACGGCCGGACGGATGGCCACCATTGCAGAAACAGGCGCGTCGAAACAACCCGCACCTCATCCAGCATGCGTTCCAGCAGCCACAGCACTCTGACGGGGTTGAGGTCGTCTGCCTGCCACCTTCCTGGAGTGCTGCCTAGTGAGGTGCCACAAAAACTGTCAACAGTTCTAATCTATGGCACCTCAAAACAACCCGTACCTCATCCAGCATGCATTCCAGCAGCCACAGCACTCTGACAGGGTTGAGGTCATCCGCCACCTTGCTCGAGTGCTGCGAGGCGAGGCGACTCCTACACCAAGTAACAGCTCAAATCAAGGGGGCAGAATTGTTGATGCACCAAAGGTCTGTGCGCACCTCATCCAGCATGCGCTCCATGAGCCACAGCACTCTGACGGGGTTGAGGTCGTCCGCCACCTTGCTCGAGTGCTGCGCTATCTCCTTGTTCGCCTCCACCGCTGCCTCCATGCGCCGCACCACGTCGTCCTTGGCGTCCATATCTTTCCCATACTTGTCATGGGATAGCTTGAGGGTACCAGTCAGCTTCTTCACAGTGCCTGGAAGATAGGGTTCAAAAACAGTTAGTGGTTCAGTTTAAGTGTGGGCTCGTCGCCTCCACAGCTGCCCCCATGCACCTCACCACATTATCCTTGGCGTCCATATCCTTGCCGTACTTGTCATGGGATAGCTTGAGTGTCCCAGTTAGTTTCTTCACGGTGCCTACGTGTCGTGAGATAGCTTGAGCGTGCCGGTCAGCTTCTTCACAGTGCCTGCAACACGTGGTGTGCAGCATGGGCATATGATTCAGGGTTTCCTGTTGGTGTGGGTCTGGTATAGGTGTGGGTCTGGTATAGGTGTGGGTCTGGTATAGGTGTGGGTCTGGTATAGGTGTGGGTCTGGTATAGGTGTGGGTCTGGTATAGGTGTGGGTCTGGTATAGGTGTGGGTCTGGTATAGGTGTGGGTCTGGTATAGGTGTGGGTCTGGTATAGGTGTGGGTCTGGTATAGGTGTGGGTCTGGTATAGGTGTGGGTCTGGTATAGGTGTGGGTCTGGTATAGGTGTGGGTCTGGTATAGGTGTGGGTCTGGTATAGGTGTGGGTCTGGTATAGGTGTGGGTCTGGTATAGGTGTGGGTCTGGTATAGGTGTGGGTCTGGTATAGGTGTGGGTCTGGTATAGGTGTGGGTCTGGTATAGGTGTGGGTCTGGTATAGGTGTGGGTCTGCCTTCACTGTTGCCTTCACTGTTGCCTCCACGGCTGCCTCCATGCATGATGCGCCTCACCACCTCCTCCTCATCCTTGGCGCCCATGTCGGGCCTTAATGTGCCTGTCAGCACTTGCATCCATTCGTGCCAGAGGTGCCGGTACTGGGCTTTGGTGCCGGAAACACTGCATGTCGGAAACAGTGCATGCCGAAAACAGTGCATGCCGGAAACACTGCATGCCGAAAACAGTGCATGCCGGAAACACTGCATGCCGGAAACAGTGCATGCCGGAAACAGTGCATGCCGGAAACAGTGCATGCCGGAAACACTGCATGCCGAAAACACTGCATGCCGGAAACACTGTGTGCATCGTTGCCTTTCCCCCTACCAGCACACACACTCAACAACCCTTCTCACCATTGTGGTCCCCGCAGTAGTGGCACATCCTGGTGCGCTTGCACCGCTCTGAAACGCGCTTCACCATGGCCTTCTTCTGCAGCACCTCCACCCGCGGGTGCCGGAACTTCTTCAGCCACTGCCGCCGCTCCTCGTCGCTCAGCAAAATGCGCCCACAGTTCTGCATGCGGTGAAGTGGGGTGAGGTGGGGTGAGGTGAGGTGTGGTGTGGTGTGGTGTGGTGTGGTGTGGTGTGGTGCGGTGTGGTGTGGTGTGGTATGGTGTTGTGTGGTGGAAGACATCATGATGTGATGTGAGATCTAATCAAATGCATGCAGGTACAGATCTCCATGGTGCGACGGACGGTTATTTCCAGGCGCCTCGGAAACTTCTTAAGCTGCTGCCGGCACTCTTCATTCTCAGCAGAATACGCGCATTGAACACAGGTGCAAAGGCATGCATTCCATAATTAACAATACCGAAGTCACCTTGCAGATCCATGAAGAATGACTTTGAAGTACCCCATGTGGTACACCGGCAGCTGAACCATCCGAGCAACCCATGTGAAACACATGCACTTCATCATCCCCCAGTCACGACCTACCTTGCATATACATTGCATGATGAGCAGAATGACTTTAATTTGAAGTACCCCAAGTACCAGGTGCCAAGTACCAACATAACAATCCCCTACCTTGCAGATACATTGCATGATGAGCAGAATGACTTTGAAGTACCCCATGTGGTGCACCGGCAGCTCGAGGCGAATGTACCCAAAGTGCCCCTCTTGCTGCTGTATTACCAAGCACCTAGTAGTGCCAATTATAGCCAATCATAACCTACCTTGCAGATGCATTGCATGATGAGCAGAATGACTTTAAAGTACCCCATGTGGTACACTGGCAGCTCCAGGCGAATGTACCCAAAGTGCCCCGCACAGTCCTGCAGCGTGCCGTTGCACGTCGTGCACTCGCCCTTCTTGCTCGTCGTTCCCTGGACGTGGGCAGCAACGAAGAACAAAAACAGTCAAAGAGAAGAATGAGTACAGACAAAAGACAAACGGGCCACTCAACTCAACGCATCGATCTTCAAAATCCTGGCATCTGAAAGTCCAACCTTGATGGAAGTAAGGCCTCCGCAGCCCACCTGTCCTCTCTTGACAACCTTGGATCGATCAAGCACGCACACTCACGAGCCTTGAAGCACTCACTAACCATGTGTGGGTCAATGAAGCACAGCATCCTCACTCACCAGGCGAGGGTCTAGCACGCCAAAGGGCGTGGGCTTGCGCTCTGGCAGCTGGTACAGACTCCTCTCTGATACCTGCACCTCCGCACTCTTCATTATCTCGTGCGCACTCATTGTGCTGAACCGCACGCTCTTGCTGCCAACATCAGGGGGGGTTGAATGGGAGGGAGAGGGTGGATTGGGGGTGGGGAAAGGGGAGGGGGGGAGTTGCCACGGAAAAAAAATGCGCACTCCTCATAATCACGTGCACGTTCCTTGTACTGAACCGCACGCTCGTGCTGACTGGGGTTGGGTGGAGCGTGAGGGAGGGTAGATTTGGGGAAGGAGGTTGCGTGGAGCAAACATGTGCTCTCTTATTATCTTGAGTGCGCTCAGTGCGCCGAACCGCACGCGCTTTAGGGGATCTAAATTTCCCTCTTCATGCACCCACACATCCCCTCCCCCACTCACATCTTCCGTGGCCGTTTGTCTTCCATCACCAGGTCCTTAGTGAACGTGATCGCAGCAGGCGCAATTGTGTGCCTTCCCACTGTTCGCACACTATTCGCTCACTATTCGCCAACTCTTCGCCCTCCCTTCCCTTTTCTCCCCGACTCACATCTTGCGCGGCCGTTTGTCTTCCATCCCGTGGGTCCTTAGTGAACGTGATCGCAGCAGGAATGGTTGTTTGATTCCCATATTTCGCCCAGTATTCGCTCGCCCATCCATTACACTCACATCTTGCGCGGCCGCTTGTCTTCCATCACCGGGTCCTTAGTGAACGTGATCGCAGCAGGCGCGGGATCCGTCCCGCCTGCCTGCTGCGGCCCCCCTCCCCTTCCGCCCCCTCCGCGTCCCCCCCCCGCTTGCACCGGTGGCCCACGCCCTCCCCCCCGCCCGGCCCCTCCCTGCTGCGCCATCCCCGCTTCCCTTTCTCGTCGCCCCTCTTCCCCTTCCTCTCCTCTCCAGCCCCCTTCTCCCCCCTCGCGCTCCTCCTGTTTCTCCCCTTTTCAGCCTCGCCTCGATCGAGACTCGTCCTCCTACCCCTTCCTGTCCTCTTCGTCCCCTCTTTCGCTTTTTCGTTGCTTAATCGCGTTCCTAATCGACTCTAAGGCCGTCTAAGCGTCAAATGTGCCTTCTACAGCGCCTCGGGATGGCCTCGAGAACGTCGCGTGGCTCTCACGAGAGGCCGAGAAAAAGCTATTCTCGAAGTAGCGTGTAGCGCACGCAACTGTAAGAGTGAAGAACCCAGCTACCAGAAAGCTCTGAAGCACGGTTCAGGCGCGCAGAGGCATCTTCAGCTTCTGACGGTGCCTTCCGCAATTCGCACGACCGTCGTCAGCTGCTTGCAATCGCGATTGCTGCTTACAATCGCGCTCCCTGCTTGCAATCGCGCGTTCTAGCAACAGGCCAATGTGGTGGAGTGGCAGTTGACGGTGGAGCATATTTGGGACAAACGACATGAGAATGGCCACTCAGGTTCTGTACCCGCTAACGATCCAGGTAACATGCATAATTTCTCGTACACAACAGGTTGACTACATGTTTTTCTGATTCATAAACTTCATTTTCACGTTCAGTGTGCATGATTGTGTAAATACTAGCGAGGTTCTATATCGAGTACTCTTTGATGGATGAGGGCAACGTACACTCTCAGCAGAGTGCAGGCAATTGCATTCGAAGCTGCAAGCCAGCAGTGAGAATGACTGCTCCGTGTCGGGCCAGCGCGATGTCGACGAGGCAGACAGAACCAGACATTCTCATGTCAGGCTTCCACCAACCAGATGCCGTAAACCGTCGCACGAGCACCAATAGCACAGCAGCACGAAATCTGACACGAACCTGTCTGTGAAATGGTCCCCACCTCTTGGCGTTCCATTATTTTGCCGTCGCGTTTTCCGTCAACTCTGCTTCCAGTTATGTTCCCTCGGTAGTGCCGCGTTTCCTTCCACTTCCCTTCAGCCCTACTCCCCATTACACCACCTCGATCTCTCGGTGTGTTCGATGTGTTCCCCACTTCCTGCCTTCGCCACAGCACGTTTTGCTGTTTTTTTGGCGACAACCCAGGCTGACTGAGAACCGCCTTGTTGATTCTCCACTACATTTTTTAATATACTCTTCGACGATGGCGAGAGAGGTATAAATCGAATGCGTTATCGTTTCACTATGACTTCCTCTCCCCTGCTTCAACTCGCATCACAGCCCAGCCCGCTCCCGCTCGCTTACGACGTCCGTCCGACCTCCCTGCGAGGAGGCAACGACTTCTGGGCCTTTTTTCAGCAGCGGCAGGACAAGCTGGAAGAAACGACTCGCCAGAGTTTCTCCGACCAATCAGAGGCCTCCGCGTGTGCCGAGCTGCGCGACAATCCCGAGGGTCCGAAGGCAATTGAAGACCCTCGGGTAGACGAGGACGGTCAAGTGGACGATGTCAGAAATAATGACGGAGGGATAGCGATAGTTAACACTTCTTCCAGTTCCTCCAGTTTAGTTAGTCCGCAGAATTTTCTCCAGCAGCAATTGTCGTTACCGAAGCGGAGACCGCTAGGCCCGCCAGTGCAGGGCTCGTATCTGTCGAAGCGCGAAGATGATAAGGGCAGAAAGCCGTTGTTTTCCTTCGGGGTCATCACCGATGTTCAGTATGTCGCGCATAGCCTATTCCTTCCCAGCTTCACCTCTTCCTTACCATTGTTCACGGATGCCTAAAAAGCTCACGAACAGGTGTTTCCGCTCAAATTCAGTGCACGACATTGTCCCTCCGTAATCTAGAGACGCTGGTTGTTGACAATTTAGGTTGTCCCTCGCGGCACGGGCGAACTCTCACGCATACGTGCCTACAACTTGCCGCTCCCTCGCTTGCAGATACGCCGATATCAACGACGGCCAATCCTTCCTCGGCATCCCGAGGTTTTACCGCCATAGCCTCCAAGGTAATCAACACAGCGCTTCAACCCGCTGCACTCTAGCTGCCGCTTCAGACAATGCTTCAGCCCGTCTTCGAACATTGCTTCTCATTGTGTTACATTGCCTTAACTCTTCTGTCTGCAACCCTGTTCCGTCTTGTCCGCTGTCCCTGTGGACACAATTTCTCGCAAGCAGGCTCAATTGTGCGTTTCCTTCTTGTTCTCCTCCCTCAGTTTTCATCACAGCGCGTTTAAAGTCGACGTCCGACCATGTCCCGTTGCGGTGGCCTCTCTCCCTCGTCGCCCGCTCTTCCTTTTTGTGCCTTTCCGTGTGTTTCCTCACCCCGCTCTTCCCGACCCTCCTCTCCCCCACCCCGCTTTCCCCTATCCCCATCTTCCACACCCCGCTTTCCTGTACCCTAAATTTTCCCATCCCGCATCCCCCTACCCCGTTTCCCCGCTTCCCTACCGCCCTTTCCCTCACCAGTGGTAAAGAAGGCGGTGGAGGATTGGAACCAATCAACGCGTCCGATGTCGTTTGCGGTTCATTTCGGCGATATTGTTGACGGCTTCTGCCCTAGGGACAGATCCGAGGAAGCTGTGAACACGGTGAGTTTATCATGTCTATGCTTGAGTCGCTTTAGAGAGTTCTCGAAAGTCACACAAGCATGGCGGCATTGTGGACGGCTTCTGCCCCAGAGAGGGATCCGAAGAAGCTGTGAACACAGTGAGCCTGGCTGGTCTGTCAACGTTGACTGAAATCGTTGACCTGACACGATTGGTAGTAGAATATCATTACCCTACCCCACCCATCTCGCTTCCCTACCCTCACCCCATCTCACCACTACCTGCCCCCACCACCCCACCTCACTACTCTATTCCCATCCCATCTCACTATCCTCCCGTACCCACCTCATTACCCTACCCCCACCCCATCTCGCCACCCTACCCCACTCCCATTGCACGTTTCAGGTTCTGGATGCAATGGCCGGATTCTCAGCCGGTCCCACATACCATATGATCGGTACGCCACCACCCAACCAGTAGTTAGTTTCGCTCTTTGCACCCACCACATTGACTGCACAGACCACCCTGTCTTGTGTCCAGTCGAGTGCATTCACTCGCTGAGACGCTTCAACACGATTTTGTATTCAGCCCGCTCATCTTTCTTCCATTCATCCTGTCTAGACTTCTGTGCATCTTTTCTGTCTCATGCGTATGTGCCGTTTTCATTTGTTACCCCGCCCGCCCACTGCTCCGCCGTCCAGGCAACCACTGCTTGTACAATCTGCCCCGCGTGGCTCTCAATAAGATGCTCGCCATCCCCACCGCTGCTGACAACCGCTCTTACTATGACTTCTCGCCCTTCCCTAACTTTAGGTATCATCGTGCTTCCTCAAACTCATGCGCCCGTCCCCTTCTCTGTCTTTTCCCCATTTCTTTCGAATGCTCTCATGATTCTCCCCGTCTTTGTTCCCCTCTCTGCGCCTCGATCTGCGCACCTCCTCTGTGCCCCACTCTGCGCCCTTCCTTTTTCGTCCTTTTCTACGCCATTCTTTGCGCCCACCTCCTTGGTTGTGCATACGGAACAGCTCTTTGTTTTCCCCTCTATACGCCCTTCCCACCCCCCTCCTGTGCGTCCAGGTTCGTAGTACTGGATTTGTACAACGTGAGTCTGCTGGGGTGGCGTGAGGACCATCCGCCGCACGTGTGAGTCAACTAAGCCTTTAATACTCCGCTCAAACCCCCCACACATTTTCCCCCACCCATCCCCCTCCTGTGCGTCCAGGTTCGTGGTTCTTGATTCGTACGACGTGAGTTTGCTGGGGTGGCCTGAGGACCACCCACACGCAGTGAAGGCGAGAGAGGTGTTGGAGAGGGAGAATCCCAACGAGGAGAAGAACAGCCCTGAGGGGCTCGAAGGGTTGAACAGGTGAGAGAGTCTGAAGGGAGGCAAGTATGTGGGGGGTTCCATTGAGGGTTCAGTGAGGGGAGGGCGAGGGAGGTGCTGGAGAGGGAGAATCCCAACGAGGAGAAGAACAGCCCTGAGGGGCTCGAAGGGTTGAACAGGTGAGAGCCTGTAGGTGTGTTGAGGGTGGGGAGGTGCTGGAGGCAAGTTGTGGGTGCATTCAGGGAGGGATCAGTGCACCATCTGCACGCAGAGAGGCAGAGAAAGGTGCTGGAGAGGGAGAAGGTGCTGGAGAGGGAGAAGGTGCTGGAAAGGGCGAAGGTGCTGGAGAGGGCGAAGGTGCTGGAGAGGGCGAAGGTGCTGGAGAGGGCGAAGGTGCTGGAGAGGGCGAAGGTGCTGGAGAGGGCGAAGGTGCTGGAGAGGGCGAAGGTGCTGGAGAGGGCGAAGGTGCTGGAGAGGACGAAGGTGCTGGAGAGGGCGAAGGTGCTGGAGAGGGCGAAGGTGCTGGAGAGGGCGAAGGTGCTGGAGAGGGCGAAGGTGCTGGAGAGGGCGAAGGTGCTGGAGAGGGCGAAGGTGCTGGAGAGGGCGAAGGTGCTGGATAGGGCGAAGGTGCTGGAGAGGGCGAAGGTGCTGGAGAGGGCGAAGGTGCTGGAGAGGGCGAAGGTGCTGGAGAGGGAGAAGGTGCTGGAGAGGGCGAAGGTGCATCATCCCAACTAGGAGAAGGATAGCCCTGTCGAGGTTCCCAACAGGAGAGTCAAAGGAAGTGAGTGAGTGAGGGTTTGGGTCGATTCAAAGGGGATTGCATCGCACCCACACCACTCACGCGCAGTGAGGGATGCACTGAGAATGCACTTATTCGTGAGCCTCACTCGCTGCCACCGCTCCCTCTCTGCCTGCCCATGACTTTTGAGACGTCTCAAAAGCCCTCTCTGCCTGCCCATGCCGGCAGGCGGTTTGTGAAGTTCAACGGAGGCGTGGGGGAGGAGCAGCTCCGGTGGCTGGAAGGCGTGCTCTCAGTAGGCCCCTCTAACCCGCGCCTTCTTTCCTTGGCTTCGCAACTCATCCCTTCTTCCTTTTGGGGCATTTTGGCATCCTTTCAGGGCCCACAATAAACATCTCTCGCTTTTGAACAATGAACCCTTCAAAGCTGCTCATGCTGAACTCATCCTGTAGTGCCGTCCAATTCCCATCACCAGGAGTGCGATGCGTTGGGAGAGACAGTGGTGCTGTGCTGCCACCAGCCCATCGAGCCCACTGCTCTGCCCACCGCCACCTGCCTTGTCTGGAATTATGATGAGGTGAGCGTCACTTTTGAGTCGACCCACAAGACTTAAAATCCCTCTGCTCTGCCCACCGCCACCTGCCTTGTCTGGAACTATGATGAGGTGAGCATGACCCTTGGAACTGTGTCGATGTGAGTCTCTTGGGAGTCGGGACTATAACCATGTCAGCTTGTTCTACCAACTGCTTTCACCCGTCCCCCCTCTCCCCCATTTGTACACACCCCCCACCTTCTCACCTGCCTGCACCCATCTCTCCTCTCCCCCTTCCCTCCTTTCCCCAACCACTCCAATACTCCCCATCAGGTGCTAGGGATCATTCACAGGCACGAGTGTGTGGCAGCAGTGATAGCCGGGCACGCGCACTTCGGAGCATACGCTTTGGACGCCAGAGGCATTCACCACCGCATCCTCGAGGGCGCTGTGGAGTGCCCCCCTGGCACCGTGGCGTTCGGCCATGTGGACGTGTATCCCGACCGCCTGTGCATCATTGGCAAAGACCGCATGCTCTGCACTGAGATGAAGTTCCCCTCTCGACCCGGCCGCTCCGCTTTGTAGCTGCTGCCTCCCTGCTCTTGCCAGCACACCTGTCTCAATCTGCCTTCCCCCTCACGCACCAGTGTGTATCCTGACCGCCTGTGCATCCTTGGCATGGACCGCATGCTGTGCACTGAGGTGAAGTTCCCCTGTAGGACTGGCAATGCTGACCTGTAGCATCTGCCCCCTTCCTCTCGCCACCACTCCCCTCTCCATCTGCCTTCCTCCTCTTGCACACCCGGACCAGCTCTGCATCATTGCCAAGGACCGCGTGCTCTGCACTGAGATGAAATTCCCGTGTCAGTCTGGGAGCACTGACCTGTAGCATCTGCGCCCTTCATCTCGCGCACCCGGACCACCTCTGTATCATTGGCAAGGAAGGACCACGTGCTCTGCACTGAAATCAACCTCTTGCATAGGACTGGCGGCGCCGAATCAATAGCATCTGCCTCTCCCCTCCACTTGCAGCTTTTGTTTACTTTGTCGCTGCTTGACTGGGCTTGACTTGACTGGTTAAGCATGGGTGGGACGTGGCAGGCAGGCAGGCAGCACACAATGCTGGTAATATGCTCTGTAGTATACATATCCTTTTTTGTGGCAGGCAGGCAGGCAGCACACAATGCTGGTAATATGCTCTGTAGTATACATATCCTTATGTGTGGCAGGCAGGCAGGCAGCACACAATGCTGGTAATATGCTCTGTAGTATACATATCCTTTTGTGTGGCAGGCAGGCAGGGAGCACACAATGCTGGTGACTGATATCAACGCACTCAATCCGAGAGATCAAAGCACACTCAACATGCTCAATCCGAGAAATCTCATACTGGAGCACACTAAGGCATACATATATTTTCCGTCGGAATAATCAGACAGCGGGGATATGTTCAAATGCTGGTCAAATGCAGGGACTTCCACAGCGGCTGCTGAATCTTCCACAGCTCCCGCATATGCACACCACTTTCATGCAAATTGGCTGCTACTAGTGGATGACTACCCATACAAGATGCCTTTCCGCCTGTGCCTGTGCTTGACACTCTCGGCCAGGAAGAAAGCCCGCAGAGGCTGCTGAATCTTCCTCAGCATGCCCCTCAGCTCCCCCAGGTGCGGCCCCTTCATGGAAATTGGCTAACTACTACCTAGATCCATACATAATTCCTCTCCGCCTGTGCCTGTGCTGGGCAGCCAGGAAGAAAGCCCGCAGCGGCTGCTGAATCTTCCTCAGCACGCCCCGCAGCTCCCCTAGGTGCACCGCCGTCATCGACCGGTCTCTCACACACGCCAGGCACTCCGGTTTCCCCGCACACAGGGCCGCAGGCAGCAGCGCATACTGCCCCCGTGCCATGCAGTCGGAGGTGTATGTGGTGTTGAGAGGGTGTGCGTTCTGCCAGCTGTAGTAGTGGACATGGGATGCGGCGGCGAGGGAGGAGTGCTGTGGGGAGTGGAGGTGCGGGGGGAAGAGCTCGAGGAGCGTGGCGTTGGGAGGGAGGAAGAGGGTGTTGGCGAGGGATGGGCCGTGCATGGCGATTAGTAGAGCCGTGCGCTGCAGGGAGGGAGGGAGGAGAGGGAGGGGCAGGGAGGGGGGAAAGAGAGAGGGAAGGGGATTTGAGATCGAGGGTAGCGTTGGGGGGGAGGAAGAGGGTGTTGGCGAGGAATGGGCCGTGCATGGTGATTAGGAGAGCCGTGCGCTGCAGGGAGGGGGGGACGAGAGAGGGGAGGGAATGTGAGATCAAGGAAGGTGGCGTTGGAAGGGAGGAAGAGGGTGTTGGCGAGGGATGGGCCGTGCATGGCAACTAGGAGCGCTGTGCGCTGCAGGGAGGGAGGGAGGAGAGGGAGGAGAGAGTGGGGAAAATTGGAAATGAGAGACATATAAGTTGATGGGATATATCGGATTGTGATGAGTTAATTGAAGGACACACCGAGAGAGTGAGTTGGAGAGCGAGAGAGAGAGAGAGAGAGAGAGAGAGAGAGAGAGAGAGAGAGAGAGAGAGAGAGAGAGAGAGAGAGAGAGAGAGAGAGAGAGAGACTGCCGATACCGCACCACCTTTCCTGATGACCGCCTCCCGAATCACCTTATGCGCTGCGAGAAGGGGAAAGGGAGGACTGCCACACACCATGCTCTCAGGGATGAAATTGCAAGGATAGGGGCGGAAGCAGGCTTCACGGTTCACAAGGAGACCTATGCCTACTCTCTGGTTGAAAACCTTAAAGCGGATGTCTCCATCCGCCATCCCCTGACCGGAGAAGTGTGGCTTTGTGACGTGACCGTGACGACCCAGTGTCCTTCCAGGACGAGAACTGCAACCGCGCACCTGGTTGGGCGGCTAGGGCGGCAGCTGCTCGGAAGGAGGAGAAATATGCGGGACGGAATGCGTGGGTGGGGTTCCACGCCTTGGCCGTGGAGACCTACGACTACCCGTCGCCGGGGGTACTGGCTTACCTGCGGCAGTGCGCGGAGCTGGCTGCGAAGCTCCGCTACAACGCGGCCCCTACCTCTCGAGAGGCTGCCAAGCTGCTGACGGAGTACCGCCAGCGCTGGAGCGTGTGCCTCCAGAGGGCACAGGCAAATGCCCTCCGCACCAAGACCAACGAGGCCCTGGAGGCGGACGAGCTCAGCCTGCAAGGGCCGTGGGCCCCTCTCAACGAGGGGCAGCTGCACCAGCTGATCGAGCCCCCGTCCGACCACTAGGGTCGGACAGCGGGGGGAGGGGAGGGGAGTAGGTGATGGTTGATAGGTCTGCTTGTTTGCCTAGTTTGCATGTGTCTGCTTCAAACCTTTGTACCACCCTTCAGCTAATAGACGGGCCATTCGAGAGAGAGAGAGAGAGACAGAGAGAGAGAGAGAGAGAGAGAGAGAGAGAGAGAGAGAGAGAGAGAGAGAGAGAGAGAGAGAGAGAGAGAGAGCATGTGAAAGAGAGAGAAGGCACACCTTCATGATGGCGACTTGCTCGATGAAGGAGCGATTGGACAGCATCACAACATCAACAGTGAGCTTGGGCATCATGGCTCGCACCAGCTCTGCCACCCCCTCTGCATTTGCCATCCCCGCATCCCTCTCCCCTTCATCCCCCTCCCCGTTCCCATCCCCGTCCGCATCCCTTTCTCCCTCCCCATCCCCCCTTGTCTTCCCCTCCCCTTCCTTTATCCTCCCCCCTTGCCCGTCACTCGCCAGCACAGTCACATGGTGGAACCTTCCTGTGCGTTTCCTCATCTCCTTAAAGAACGTCTTTAATCGCTTCAGGTCCCTGTTCAGTTCTATCTGTGCCTGGGCCTGCAGGGTCCTGGCCGCTCCAAGCTTCCTACCCCCCCATAAACTTTTAGACACCAGTGATTCTACATCATCCACCATCTGCCATGCTCTCTCCCTTATTGCCTCCACAGCCCAGAGGCTCCTCGTTTTTTGCTCCCTGCCCGGGATGAAAACGGCGTTCTGGAAACATTTCACCTGCCCGACGCGCCTGCCCGGCAGGGCGAGGGCTTGAGGCCCGAGAAGCAGGCGAGTTGCGCCGCCCACCCAAAGGTTAGGAGGGCGGGCTCTGGAGGGGAGGAAAAGATGGGGGCCTGTTGAAGACTCAGTATCTTCAGGAGCACTAGCGGTGGTACCAGCAGCAGCAGCAGCAGCAGCATCAGCATCAGCACCAGCAGTACCAGCAGAAGTGGAAGCAGATTCAACTGAGCTCGACCCACTGTCTTGCAGGCCCTTTATTCTGATTGAATCAGCCATCTGGTAAGGACGTTGGTGGCGGAAGCTGGGCTTGGAAATGGTCGGCAGGTGGAGTGCCACGTCATGCAGCACATCTGCCAGGTCAGAAAATTCACTCTGCCGCCCGGCCGAAGGCAGGACAACAGCCAAGGGGAGAGCGGGCGGCGGAGAGAGAGCAGATGAACGGAAGATTTGCTTTCCATGGGAGGCACTAGAGGCGGCATAGAATGCCATTTCATCCGCACTCAGAAACCCCCCCATCTTCTCATAGAGCGCTTCAGCAATGGAATCAACGTCAGCAACCTCACTGCTGCTGCTGCTGCTGCTGCTGCTGCTGCTCCCATCCCCACCAGTCCCCCTCCCAGTACCACTCGCACTCAAGTCCCCCCCACCTGCACCGCCACCTTCCCCAGCAGCACACTGCTGCACGAGCCCCAGGTTGATCTTAGACAGGTCAGAGGCAGCGTGGATGGCCTGCCCGCCCAGGTCCCCTGCCAGAGCGCTCTCTAGCGCCTCCCGGTCGAACCACACGCCCGCGCTGCTGCGGTGCAGGCGACTGGCGCCCTGCATGTGCACGTAGCACACGTCCCGCAGGAGCAGGGCGCAGCGCGGAGCGGGGTGGGGAACGGTGCTGGTGGCGGTGGAGGTGGTGGTGGTGGTGGTGGGATCAAGTGACGGGTCGGTGATAGCATCTTGAAGATGAGCGGAGGAAGACGAGGAAGAGGAGGAGGAGGATGAGGGTGTGGGTGTGGGGGTTGTGGATGGTGTTTGCAGGATGTACGCTCCTGGCACGTCAGGATACGGGGTGACGTGAACGCCTGGCGATCGGGCGAGTCTAGAGAGGAAGAAGGCAGCAGAGGCTGCAGAGGCTGAGAGACCTGCGGATGAATGGGTGTCATCCCTGGCCCTTCCATCTTTACTCCCACTGCTCTCATCATCATTATCTTGACTCCCATCACTCCCACCAATCCCATCATTCCCATCCTTATTCCTATCGTGGTGCATGGGCATGTCGGATCCATCTTCTTGGTTCTCTTCTTCTCCTCCCTGCCCCTCCTGATACCCCCCCTCGGACTGAAGCTCGTCTTGTTGCTGCTGTTGCAAGAGACTTTGTCTGCTGCTGCTGCTGTGTGCAGAGTGGTGGACACCGGTGGAGTGAGGTTGGTGGAGGGAGCGAAGAGATGCTGCGTGGCGAGTGTGGTTAATATTGGACCTGGGATGAACAGCACGTGCAGAGGGGATGGGGGCGGTGAAAGTGGTGGGAGGGCATGAGGGCGATGAGAGTGACAAAGGGGATGAGGGCGGTGTGAGGGAGAGGCGGGAGGGGATGTGGCTAATGTGGATGATGGAAGGGGTTGTAGGCGATGAGAGAGGTGGGAGGGGATGAGGGAGGGAACACACGTTGCGGGGAGGGAACACACGTTGCGTTTACACATACGTTATTTAGGTTGCACTCACAGGTCATACGTTATTTAGGTTGCACTCACAGGTCATACGTTATTTAGGTTGCACTCACAGGTCATACGTTATTTAGGTTGCACTCACAGGTCATACGTTATTTAGGTTGCACTCACAGGTCATACGTTATTTAGGTTGCACTCACAGGTCATACGTTATTTAGGTTGCACTCACAGGTCATACGTTATTTAGGTTGCACTCACAGGTCATACGTTATTTAGGTTGCACTCACAGGTCATACGTTATCTAGGTTGCACTCACAGGTCATACGTTATTTAGGTTGCACTCACAGGTCATACGTTATTTAGGTTGCACTCACAGGTCATACGTTATTTAGGTTGCACTCACAGGTCATACGTTATTTAGGTTGCACTCACAGGTCATACGTTATTTAGGTTGCACTCACAGGTCATACGTTATTTAGGTTGCACTCACAGGTCATACGTTATTTAGGTTGCACTCACAGGTCATACGTTATTTAGGTTGCACTCACAGGTCATACGTTATTTAGGTTGCACTCACAGGTCATACGTTATTTAGGTTGCACTCACAGGTCATACGTTATTTAGGTTGCACTCACAGGTCATACGTTATCTAGGTTGCACTCACAGGTCATACGTTATTTAGGTTGCACTCACAGGTCATACGTTATTTAGGTTGCACTCACAGGTCATACGTTATTTAGGTTGCACTCACAGGTCATACGTTATTTAGGTTGCACTCACAGGTCATACGTTATTTAGGTTGCACTCACAGGTCATACGTTATTTAGGTTGCACTCACAGGTCATACGTTATTTAGGTTGCACTCACAGGTCATACGTTATTTAGGTTGCACTCACAGGTCATACGTTATTTAGGTTGCACTCACAGGTCATACGTTATTTAGGTTGCACTCACAGGTCATACGTTATTTAGGTTGCACTCACAGGTCATACGTTATTTAGGTTGCACTCACAGGTCATAGGTTACAAGCGTAGCAGCAGCACGGCTGAGAGGGTGCGCATGGCAGTCGTGGAAGAGGGGGATGCAGGCACCCGAGAGGAGCGAGTCGATGAGGAGCAGAGAGAAGAGGCCGTTGACTGCTGCCACCACTGCACCACGCAGGGGTGGGACGGGAAGGGGGATATGAGAGGGAACGGATGTGAGAGCGTGTATGGCAGTCGTGGAAGAGGGGGATGCAGGCACCAGAGAGGAGCGAGTCAATTAGGAGCAGAGAGAAGAGGCCGTTGACTGCTGCCACCACTGCACGCAGGGCGGGATGGAAGGGGAAACGAGAGGTGGGACTTGAGGAAAGGGACGGATGAGGCGAGCGGAGAATTGGATTGCTTGTCTCGGTTTCTGGTTTGTGTGTGCATGTAGCGGGAGGGAAGGCTGAAGAGATGGCTAAAGCCACTGCATGCACTCATGAATGCTGCATTGACCAATGCTGCATTGACCAGTGCTGCATTGACCAGTGCTGCATTGACCAGTGCTGCATTGACCAGTGCTGCATTGACCAGTGCTGCATCCATGCACAGACGCACCAGCAACCAGCACCACTCAATCTGAATGCTGAATTCATGCATCCATGCACAGACGCACCAGCCATGAAAGCCACGAAGTGTCGATACTTCTTCACCCGCCGCCACACATTCACCCCCGCTACCCCCCCCTCCACTCCCGCTCCCACCCCCATCCCTGCGCCTCCGCCCGCTCCCCCATCCCCCGCAGACGCCCCCGTTGCGCCCACTGGGCTTCCCCCCGCAACCCCTCCCGCCGCCTTGCCATAGTTGCCCGGCCAGCCGACGTACTTAAACTCCTCAGAGAGATTAAACGTCTCCTCGGCTACCGTTCCCCACCACGCGTCCAGCGCATGCGCGTAGCGGGAGAGCGAGGAGAGGAGGAGGGCGAGGTGGGAGGAGAGCGAGGAGGAGAGGGAGGAGGGGAAGGAGGAGGAGAGGTAGGAGGGGAAGGGGGAGGGTCGGTGGGGAGGCGAGCGGGCGATGAGGTGTTGGACTTTCTTAGGGTCCCAAGATTCCATAGGCCCTGTCGGCCATTGCTCCTCGATCCCATCGCCTTGTTTCAACTTCCTGCTTTCGCCAACCTCGGGCCCTGCTTCAATATAAGCACTTTGATCGACCATGGAGGATTCGTGAAGATCTCTCCCGTGGTACGCTCTCCCCCGCTCCTCCGCTATAGCGGAGGGCCGTCCACCGTGGATCAGAATATCGTTATCGTCACGCGCACTTCCGATTTCACTGTAGCTGCTGTAAAGAGGATTTGATTTTGTCACCCCTTCGCTGGAGCTCGCCTCAACTCCTGTCGCGATGAGCTCGATGGCATCCCGAAGACTGTCCCGTGCGGAAGACATTGCTCCGCTATAATCATCCTCGTTCAAGATAAAGCCGCTTGTTTCCGCATCGTGACGGCGGGCTTCCAAACGCTGAACATCGATATTGGCTGCTCCTTTAGGCGAACGAGCGAGGACGGAACTGTCGCCGCGGCCGATCGCGCCATCTGTTCGTTGCCGCTCCCCCTCCCATCGGTCGATCGCGCCATCTGTTCGTTCACTGAATCTTTCCCTCCTTATAGTAACACCATAAGAATTTCCAGCGAGGGTCGCGCACGGAACTCCGGAAACGACAGGCTCGCTAAGAACAGATTCGCGAAGATTCTTCGCGGACGAGCCTCGCCTGGCCAATCCGGAAGCGGATGCTCCCGTTGGTGCGGTTAACACGGAGACCTCTTCTGAGAACTCCGACGCATTATCTTCCCGGCGAAATTCTGCCGATAAACTCCTACTGAACACGTCTTTAGGCGCCTCAAAAGTTTGACCTTGACGCGGCTCCGCCAATAAACCGCTACTTGACGCGACGAATGCGGTCGCGGAGGTAGAAGATTCTGGCTTCGGTGGTAGTGGCGGACTAGTGCGATCGGCACTGCGGGACTCCATGATTGGAGCAGCGAAGATAAACGACGAGCATTGGTAAGTAATTTGCCTGAAATGGCTCCAAGGTTCCTCGCCTTGAATTGACGTCGTCTGGTGTTTCACAACGGAGAAGTGAATGATACCAGCAGACGAACCGCTATACTCGAAGATGAGAAAATGGCGACAACATGAAGGTGGTGGATGGTGGTGGTGGTGATGAGATGATGAATGAAGATGATGCGATGGTCTATCTAGCAGTGGTGGTGCTGCTGATGGTGGTGTGGTGGGTGATGGTGGTTGGTTGGTTGGGACCTTTTTGTCGAGTCTGCAAAAAGCGAAGCAGGACCTCAAGAAGACTCCAGGTTCGTTCTTTGAGATTACCTTGCTGGTAAAACTTGACCAGTGATGGCGGGTTAGTTGGTGGGAGCATGTTCGCCTTGACTGCGTGTTGGCACGGGGCCCATTTTGCAGCGTGACAAAGAGATGGTGTACATCTGAAAGTGGTTGGGTGTGGTTAGGTTGTCATGGAATTGACGTTGATGATGCTGATGATGCTTGGTTGGCTCGCCACGAATGAAGAAGTGAATCCGCCCTTTCTATGACTGCCGCACGATGGTTGAGAATTGACGACTGACGGTTGACTGGCGCATGGCGGTGGGTGCATAGAAAACTATTCGGTACTGAAATATACTCAATACTGAACTGAGAGACAGGACCTCAAAGTCTGTCTGTGCTACGTATCATAAGCTGTAGCATGTAGGTCATAGATCAATGAGATCACATTTGACATACATCTGTTCATATGAAGCCACACACTTGACAACTCAAGGGAGAAACTGGCTCAAAAGCATACCGTACAATGTTTCAAGTTTCCAAAGGTACATGGGATGGGAAGGAATTAGCTTCTTGAGTTAATACATGTACACATTTTCAGAATTTGCCATTGCTTCATCCCATCCGTTCCCGAAACACCTCATCCAAACTGTCAAGTGACGGTGTATCAGAGTCGATTTGCTCTCCCATTACCCTTTGCCCATCACTAGAGCCTCTACTTCTTCCACCCCAGCTTCTATTCCCGCCTCTCAACCCGCGCCCCGCCCTTCCACCGTCTCTCCCACTCCCTTGCGACCTGCTCATGTCTTCGCTACTAGCCGCTTCCCTATTGGTACTATCACTCATATCGTCCGATCTTGACCGTCCATCTCCAAACGAGACGTTCTGCCAACCGCTCCCAGAAGGCACCTCCCTCAGGTAACGCTGATCAGAAGAACCCCCCTCAATTTCATCAGCCCCCACCCTCTCCTCGCTCTCCTCCCTCCCATCCCTTTCTTCCAATTCACCAGCTTCCCCAGTCAATCCCCGTACCTGACCCCGTGCTTCGGCCCGAGCCTCATCTCTTTCGTGTGCAGCAGCTGCTGACTCATCTCCTTCTCGAGGCTGCTCCTGGACTGATTGCTGCTGGGTTGACTGCTGCTGGGATGCCCCCCCACAGCTTCCAGGCACCACTCCCTCTCCACTGCCTGACTCCCTCTGATGCTGCGGCTGCTGCAGGTTCTGCTGTGCTTGATGTTGCTGCTGCTGCTGCGGCGGTGGCTGCAGTCTGTGCTGTCTGCTGCTCTGAGCGCTGGACTCTCCCCAACGAGGCATCGACTGCCCGTGCCTGGCCGCTCCTCTTTCCACCTCCTCTTCCTCCTCCTCCTCTCGCTCCTGCTCCTGCTCCTCATTCTCCTCGTCCTGCATTCTTTCTCCTTCCCCATTATTGGCATCCCCAGTGCCCCTACCATCCCCATCCCCGTGCCACCTTGCTTCCCCATTCAGCACCGGAACCTCTCCCTGTTGCGCCATCAACTCCCATCGCCCATCTTCTCTCCCATCCCCTTGCCCTTCCCCTTGCCTCTCCTCCCTCTCGCCTTCGCCAAGCCCTCCCACTCCTTCCTCCACTGCCCCACCCTCTCCCTCTTCCTGGCATGCCTGAACGTGGGCACCCCACCCTGCCTCCTGCTGCCCACCCTGCCCTGCCTCCTGCTTCCCTACCTGCCCTCCCCTGTCGCGCCTCTCCTCCCACCTTTGCACCACGTCCCTGTGCCCGCCTTCGTGTCCCTGCTGCTCTCTGCGCCCTGCTTCCTGTGCCTGCTCGTCTCGCTGCCCTGCTTCTTCTCCCTCCTCCCTGCACCCTGCTCCCTGTGCCTCGTCCCGCACACAAGCATCAAACCCACCTGGCACTTCCCCATGCACCCCTCCCCCTCTACCTCCTCCCCCTCCTCCTCCTCCCCCTCCACCCGCTCCTCCCCCTCCTCTCCCTCCCTCCCTGCCATCCGCCACACCACCACACCGCATGCCCTCACCACCCTCCGCATGACCACTCTGCTGGTTGATTCTGGGCCCATTCGTTCCCCCGCCCACTTCAGGCACCAGACACGGGTCTTCAAACGCGTACTGCAGTTCGGTATGCAGGGAACGGGAGGTGCGGGGAGGGGATGACACGGCTCGGGACGAACCTCCGGAGGTGGACAGGCGGGCACGCTTGGCGTCAGGCTCGGGAGAACCTGCTGACAGGTTTGGATGGGCGGGGGTGGGGGGAAGTAACTGAAGCACTGAGGTTAGTCCAGCTTGCTTTAGAACCTGAATCCAAAGGACATGCATCCCGGCTTTCTGTCCATGACAGCCCTCTCAGAGCCACTTTGTTTCCCTCGCTTCTGAGCAATTGTCAAGCTCCAAAGTGAATGAATGGGAAGGAGGGGCATGCATCTGTGTGCCCGCCCGCCGCCCACCCGCCCACCTACCTACCGGAACGTTGTTGCACGGGGATGAGCCAATCAAAGAAGGAAACCGGCGTGCCGTACCGCTGCCGCCGCCTCTCCCCATGCCCCTGCCCATGCTGCCCCTGCCCCTGCTGCTGATCATGGTAATGCTGCTGCTGCTGCTGGTGCTGGTACTGGTAATCCATATCTTGCTGCTGGTAATGTTGCTGCTGCTGCGAGTGGTGGTGGTCCGAGTGCTGCTGCGGCACCTGCAGGTGCAGCTGGTGGTCGCGTCGCTGCCGGCTGTACTCTGCGACAGTCGTCCACAGCTCGCCCACGCTCCACCCCTCCCTCAGCAGCCACTCACACACCTGCACGGGATAAGTGAGTTCGTGGGACGCGCAATTAGATTTGTGTTCGCGTCACATCATGCACATCGCGTCGCTGCCTGCTGTACTCAGCCATGGCCCACAGCTCACCCACACTCCACCCCTCCCTCAGCAGCCACTCACACACCTGCACGGGATGTGGGAATATGGCAAAGAAATGGCTTGAGACCAAGAAAATATGTGTCTTCTTTGAGACCCGCCCCACAACTCGGCCACTCTCCGCCCCTCCCTCAACTCTATTCAGACACCATCAGTTGGTGATGATGGTGGTGGTGGTGGTGGTGGGATCCTCACCTCCTTGAGCCGGGCGGCGCGGTGGTCGGCGTAGGTGAAGTAGAGCACGTAGGGGCGGCCGGCCTCAGAGGCAGCCATCCACTGCAGCATGCTCTTCACCTCCAGGTCGCCCCCAAACACGCCACACCCCCAGTTGCCCGTCGCTATGCCCATGCGATTGTGCTGGGACGTCAGGCTCAGTCGACCCGGCCTCATGCCCCCTGCTGCTGCTGCTGCTGCTGCTGCTGCTGCTGCAGCTTCCCCCGCTGCCGCCGCCGCCGCTGCTGGTGCTGCATCCGATACCGGTAGTGCGGTGGTTAGTGCTGCTGCTCCCGCTGCGTCACCTGCGTCCTCTGCACCCGTCCCCCGTGCAACCCCTCCCACCCCTGCCACAGCCTCCTGTCCTGCCCTTGCATCTGCTCCCCCTGCTGCAGCAGCCTTAGCGTTAGCTGCTGCTGAATGCCCAGGACTCGTTCTTTGACCTGCTACAGCTGCTGGTGTATATACAGCAGCAGTTACAGCAGTGGCAGCAGCAATGGCAGTGGCAGCAGTAGCAACGACAGCAGTAGTGGCAGCGGTAGCAGCGGTGGCAGCAGTATGAAAAGCGCGGACCCTCCTTCTGTGATCCCCACTCCCCAGGTCATAACTCCCCCCACTATCACTCCCATTCTCATCCCTACTCCTCCCCCTGCTCCCTCCCCCACTCCCCGTCTCCTCCTGCCCACCATGCTCCCCAAGCCCTCCCCCGCCGCCCGCCCCAACCACCTCCTCCTCCACCGCCCGCCTCAGCCCAGAAAGAGACAAATGCCGCCCACTCGAATCAGTTGCCGCCCGGCTTTGAGTATCACTTCCACTGCCTTCCGCTCTCCCTCTACCCCCTTCCGCACCACCACCCTTTCCTGCTGCACCTCCCCTTCCCCCTATTCCCCCCGTTCCCCCAGTTCCCCCCGTTCCCCCCGTCCCTCCCCCTGTGGCGCCACCGCTTCCCCCACCAGTAGCTCCCCCTGAACCCCACGTCCTCCCCCCTGTCCCCGCGCCAGTTCCCCCAGTCCCCGCGCCAGTACCCCCTGTCCCAGTGCCGGTGCCCTGGGGGGAGATGGAGGGAAAACAAACCGCCCCCGCAGGCACAGCAACGCCTGCTGATGTCATCAACCCTCCTGCTGATGTCAGCAGAACATCAGTGCGCACAAAGGGCAGGGAGGGGGAGGGAGTCTGCTCAGACACCCTATTAGCGCTGCCCATTCCCAGCTGTGGTGACTCTCCAGTCGCCTGGCTCGCAGATTGGGCATGCTTCTCATGTGCCTCCCCCCTCTCTTCCCCCTCTTCCCTCACTTCCTTCTCCTTCATCTCTGTGTCCTCATTAGCCTTCTGCACCTCTGCTGGCTTGTCCTCGTTATAGTCCTCCTCCATTGGGGTTGCCTCACCCTCTACCTCCATCTCCCTCCCCTCCCCATGCCCCCCCACCACACGCTCACCTGCCCCTGCAGTGCCCCCTTCACCCTCCCCTGTTTGCCCCGCCTCTCTCTCTTCCCCCCACTCCTCCCGCACTCCCTCCAACCTCCCTGCACCCCTCTCCACCATGACAAACCCATCCTCCTCCCCCTCATCCTCCACCTCCTCCTCTTCATCCTCCTCTTCCTCCTCCTCCACTCTCTCACTCTCACTGGAGTCTCGCCCTCCCACGCCCCTTTCGCGCCCAAGCCGAGAGTCAGAACCAGAGCTAGTGCCAGCAGTGGCCCGGCTACTGCCCTGCATCTGAGTGCTGTTATTCCCGCTGCTGTTGTTCCCACTGCTGTTGTTTCCGCTGCTGTTGTTTGTGTTTCCACTGTTGTTGCTGTGCTCGCTGTTCCTCCCCTCGTTATTGTCACTGCTGCTGTTAGGCCGAGGCGCCGTCACACTCGGACGGCGAGCTTTGGCTGCATCTGCAGGGTTCCCTTCGCTATTGTCACTTCCGCTGCCCTTTCCTCTCTCATCACCTCCTGCCTGCATTCCCCCGTTTCGCTTCTCGGTTCCACTCCCCTCACCACTCCTGTTCTCCCCTTCTCCACTGCCCTCCTTACTGCCCTCCCCACTCCCCTGCCTCCCTTCCCCTCGCCCTGTACCCAAATTCCCCATTACCCCCCCAGATGCACCCTCCCCCTGCCCTCTCTTCGCACCCCCACTCCCTTTCCTCTCAAAGTACCTTCTTATTCCTCCCCTCCCTCCCGCCCCTCCCCTCCCTCCTCCACTCCCCCTCGGCACCACCCCTCCCCCATCAACAATCATCCCCTCGTTCCCCTCTCCTCTCCTCTCCTCTCCCGCACGCCCCTCCCCCAAACTCCTTCCCCCCTCCTCCCCACCGCTCCCCCTCCCCTCCCCTTCACTCCCACTCCCCCCTCTCTCCCCTCCCCTAAACCCCGACATAGCCCCCGCCGCCCCCCCCTCCCCACTCAAAAAATCCCTCGACAGGGACATTTGCGCAGTACCCTCCAAAAACACCGGGCTATTACTGTCATTACTCGCGAGAATCGACCCGCCGGCGAAACCCCTTGCAGAGGCATGGTCTAGGAAGCCGCAGAAGGCCTTGTTGGTTTCCCTGAGGAGATAGGAGCTGCGGAATTGGCGATCTGCTGCGTGGGAGAGGGCATCCATGGCCACTATCCGCGTCTGGCGGCGGCCTAGGGAATCCCGAGGGGCTGTGTCAATGAAATCCCCGGCGAACTTGAAGGTTGCTGCGTAGCTGAGGGAAGGAGAGTGCGAAGAGGAGTGATGGGGGAAGAATAGGGGGAGGAGGGGTTGGGAAGGGAGATGGAAGATTCAAATAAGGATGTGTGAGATTCAGTAAGCAGGATAAGGTACCTCAACCCACTGTATCTGCTGACTCATCAATTGAATTTGCTGACTCGACCCGTCAAACCGGCGACTCACCCAGTGTATTTGCTGAATCGCTCGGGCCCCACGATCTCAATCGTCTCGTTGTTCTCCATGGCGGGCAGAAAAAGCATTCCCACAATGAGCTCCGGGCAGATGACGAAACGAATCTCCTCCTGCACGCACCCCGAGCCGAGCGTGCCGCCACCCAGAAAGGAATTCGCGAAGTCCACTTGCAGACAGCCCGAGCCATCGTCCTCTATTGTGCCGCGCTCATGCACCTGGTGGTGGTGGTGGGGGTGGGGGCGGAGGAAGGAGAGGTGGGGCCTTGTGAGGGTGTGAAGTGAGAGCATGGCTTGAAAGGCATTGGCAAGTCCACTTGCAGACAGCCCGTGCCATCGTCCTCTATTGTACCTCGCTCATGCACCTGGTCGGGCATGGGGAGAGGGAGGAAAGGAATGGGAGAGAGGAAATGGTGAAGAAGGGTTGGAGGGGAAGAGTGGTGCATGAAGCGGCAGGTGTGATATGACTGGAAGCTCTGCGCAGCTGCCCCCTGTCTGCCCTCCCAGCCATGCGTCCTGGTGCACCCAAACCTCTCTCCACCCATTTCCCCCTTCCCAACACCACTCTTCCCTCCAACATCCTCCTCCTCCCCCAACACCCCTCTCCCCCCAACACGCCTCTCCCTCCCCAAAACGCCCTTCGCACTCACCACCAGGGCGCAGAGCGGAATCCGCCTTGTCCCCCAGAAGTCCGCGCCAGGGGGAGGGGGAAGCGTCCCCCAGCTCCCCCCAAAGCACCCCCCACTCCGCAACTGCTCCTCTCCTCCCTCCCCTTCCTTCCCCCACGAGCCTGCTAGGCTCGGATCCGAGCCTGTTGTCGGACCTGAGCTTCGGTTGGAGCTGCTTTTCTGCATGGGCGAGCTTCGGGAACCGCTGTGGTAACCACTGCCGTAACCGTTCCCGTTACCGTTACCACCGCCGTTACCACTGCCCTTACTGCCGCCACTACCATTACCGCGCCGCCCACCCTGCCCACCACTCCCACCGCTTCCAGGTGGCGAACTACCACCGCCTAGTCTCATGTTCCCTCTTTCCCGCCCTCCACCCTCCCCTGCCTCCCCACCCCAACCAAACACATCCTGCTGCTGCTGCTGTTGCTTTAGGTGGCCTGGTGTGTCAGTACCAGGGGCGTTGAATGGGTGCAGGGCTGGCGGGGCGGCAGCAGTGGGTGTGACAGTGGCGGGTGTGACAGCAGTGAGGGGCAGCACCTTGCGCTCGTACGAGACGGCGCCCTGAGGCATGGAGGAGACGACTCGGCGGAAGTAGTGCAGTAGGCAGCGCAGCTTCTCTTGTTGCTGTGGGGAGCCCTCGTATATGCCGCTGAGAGGTTGGGAAAGGACGGGAATGGGGAGGGGAGCGATGGGGGTCTGAGGCAATCAATGCTCTGAGGCACGGAGAGAGGACGCGGCAGGATTGGTGCAGCAGGCAGCGCAGCTTCCCCTCTGCTCCGGCGACCCCTCATGTATTCCCCTGGCTGAGCGCAACAGATGAGGGGTTGGGCAAACGGAGACAGTGGATAGAAAGAGGGGTGAGAGGGTGGAGACTCACCCATAGAGGCGGTCGAAGTTGATCTCTGGCAGTCTCTCCTGCGCGCGCCCAGCCGTGGGATACACGGGGAGGGGCGGGGTTGCGCACGGGGAGAGTGGAAAGAAAGAGGGGTGAGAGGCTCAGGACTCACCCATAGAGGCGGTCGAAGTTGATCTCTGGCAATCTCTCCTGTGCGCGCCCAGCCGTGGGATACACGCAGAAGAACGCGCCCACCAATAGCGCCGCTGCAAGCTCCTGCGTTATAAGCACAAGCCCCGGCTGCTGCGGCCTCAACAGCTGCAGCGTCATCTGCGTTCCCCTCCGCCATTTCTCGCTTCCCCCGCTCCCGCTTCCGCTCCCGCTACCCCCGCTTCCGCTCCCCCCGCTGCTGCCGGACTGCGCTGCGGCTTGGGCTGCCCGAGCCACGCTCCGAGCCTGCTGGGAGACGAGGCTCGGGAGACGCAGTGCGAGCGAGGCCATTCCGGGCAGCGTGAAGAAGAAAAACTCCTGAGATTCTTCCTCGGAAAGAATCTGCAGGTACAATTGGGGCGAACACGGGAAAAGGGACAGGGAGGAGGGCGATGAGAAGAGCGTTCGGGCAGCGCAGGGCTGACGGTTTCATGCTTCACTGGAAGCTAGCAAATCCGCATTTCCATTACACCTGAATTTCTAAAAGATTACCCGCGTATCAGATAAGGTTGGCGAACTCACCTCGTCGAAGAATTCAGCGAGACCTTTCGCGAGCCGAGGGTTACCATCGCTGAGACTTAGCTCCCTGCGAATGTCAATTATCGCGTCCGCTAACGTCTCGCCACTCGCCACCTGCCACGTGGACAGGAAAACACCGCAGATGTGGAACACGCGAGTGAGAGCACGCGTGAAATACCGCAGGAAACTGAACTCTGAATAAAGTATTCTGAAGACGTTGAAACAAAAGTGAAGCTGATGCTGATCCCAACAAGCGCACCTGACTAGCGGCCGGACCACGCGCAATGGCGGCGAACGCGTGAGCCACGGTCCCGGGCCACGCGTACTCTCTCCGCGTGCTGCTCACGCTCGCGCTGTTGTTGTTATTGTTGTTCGTCTGGTTGTTGTTATCTTTCGCCGGCTGGTTACTACTGTCAATCACTCCCGTTGCGTACAGCCGCGACGCTGATGTGTTCGCTGCATCGGTGTTAAACCCCGCCGGGCCGGCACCGCTGAAGCCGTAGCTCGTGCCGGCGCCGGCAACACCACCGGCGGCAACGCCGGTTGTAACGCCGGCTTCCCGGCTTCCGCCGAATCCCGCGTCGGACGGTAGCGTGCTCAGGCTCGGCGCGGGGCCGAATGGGAGGAAATACGAGAGGTCTCTCTTTTCGGGAAACATTGCGGAATGAGGAGTTATTGAAGGGAAGGCTTTATACTGGGCAGATTCGAAAAGCTGGCTATGACGAGCTTCATCGAGAAACCAATGGAGGCTACAACGGGAAGACAGATTATGGGTTGCGATGAGGGAGCTGAAATTTATGTAACCCAGCGACGGCTTCGATTTGGAACGTCCTTGATAAACTGGAGAGCGATCAGTGTCGGAAGAAAGACGATGTGCAGAGACTGTTAACTACACTAAAACCAACCCAAATCAAGAAGAGTATTCGTCAAGTCAGGCAATTCACACTTTGACGCCTTTTGCATCGGTCAATCGACAGCAAGCCTACTAGCAAAGACTGCTAACAAGAGAGCCAAGCTAATGTGAGTCAAGAGAAGACGCCTGCATCTGGGCTTGTTTACTTTACACAGACCACACAGAAAACCCTCATTCGAACCTCGGAAACGCCGACGTGCAACTTGCTCTTGGGAGCAGACCGTTTGATGTGGGCTCTTCTTGGATTGGGATGGGATAGTGTCCTGAAGATCAGAAACAAACGAGAGATCCCCGAGCCAGGAGAGAGGAGGAGGGGAAACCAGTTGATGAGGGAAGGAAGGTAACGAAGCTGGATGTCCGGATTGGTGGTTATGGTTCATAAAGGAATCTCAACAGCTGTGCACCAATCGCGGACAGTGCGGGCGGATAGAAAAAGGTCATCCGGGTCACGTGAAAGTATCGGACGAGAGATCCACGCCGGCTTTTGTGTCAAGAAAGTGAAAAAGTGCAATGAAAAGCGCATCTGTGTGGTCCCAACCATCAGATATTTCCGACGTGTGCCACGTCACCTGTCGGCCATTTTTCGCGTCCCGTAGCAAACAGCGGGGCGCAGTTGGGCATCTCAAATATTTATCTTCATGTACTCGGAATGAAGTTCTTCGTGTTTTAGACACATCGAAGGTGTCGTTGCATCTATGTCGATCTTCTATATTGTAAGGACATTCCCTTTTCCTTACTTCGCGTCCCTGCTCAACGCGTACGTCACTGTAGCACCTCAGTCAGCACCGTTACCACTCGCGACCATCGCATCATTCATCATCCCGCCCTTTTCGCACATCGCATCCCGACCTCACGGCTCGGCTGGTAACCCGCGCTCCGGGCCTACGCTTCGACATTTTTCCCAACCTCAGCCCCAGGCTCGTCGCGCGACAACCACAGTCCATTACCGTTACCACTATTGTTTCGCTATATAATCCTTCGCTCATACCTTCGCTCATTGTACTTTTGCTTCGATAGTGCAATTCTCGTTCGTTCACTCAATTGCACTCGTAACATATATTAGGATGTGCAGGGTCTCACTCACTACCTATTGTACAGCCATTCCTCCTAAAATGTACCCTTATATTATACCAGCTACGTGTACATTATCGCGGCTGTCACGTTCATTTATGTCACCTCGCTGATGGTCGGTCGGTGTGGAACACACATGTGTCGGAATTCAGTGACTGGTCGAAGCGATGCGCACAAGGTGTCACAGAAAGCGTTCGCAAGGCCGAGGGGGGGCAGGGCCAGCTCGGTTGCGGAAGCGGGGATTGCCGTGACTACGCACGGCACAGCCCTGCGCCTCCCTTTTTCCACCAAGGGGAACAAATTACCAGCCCTTGGCGGAAGAATGGACAGCTTTGGCGCGGCGATGCTGCGCGGAATCTCAAGAAGTCGCAGCCGACATGGGTGAAGCTTGGCGGAGGATTACAGCCAAAAACATTTCAGGCCCAGCCCGCGCGGAAACATCTGCAGAATCGGCTCCTTTTCCGCCGTCGTTCAGCTACCCGCACTTTGTGAAATGAGCGGATAGTATGGATTTGCGGGAGAGTGGCGGAAACTTGTACACAATACACAGAATGCTCAGCTTTTGCACAAAAATTTGGGTCGTTTTTTTTTACAGCCTTCTCAATTGCAGTTGGTACTAGCCAGTTGCACGCACGTTACAGACCCCTATTTTGATCGCAGCCGTTGAACATCCACCTTATCACGCTGGCATCCGTCAGTTCGTGAGATATTTTGAGACGCTTGTTATACCTGCCCACTACTGTCCCGATTTTGCCAGTAGCGATTGTTTGCGAGTTAGGCGAACCGGGTGCTCATTATTCGCCCAAATGACGAGAAACGTTGTGGGTATCTAGCGGGCATCCTGTGTACAGTGGAGGTGAATCTTCTCGGCATTCTCTATGACAAGCAACTGCACCCATTCCCATTTGTCGGTCCTTCTGGCAGGGAGATGTCACCCTGTAACAGCTGTAGGAGGTGACGTGAGCTATTGGGTAGGTTGAGCTTTTGGTCTAACGGCGATTGGTTCTGTCCCTAACTTCAGTTCCTTTCGTCTCTCTTGACCGATTGTTGGCGGAATCACTTGCTAAACGCGCCGCTCCTACTTCGATTACCGCGTACTGTCCGCTTCATTCTCTTAGAACCCATTGTCTGGACTATTTCGCAATGAGTCGCATAGTAGGTCGCGGAGGCTCAGATCCCTATTCGAGCGACGTCGAGATGCCGTCGTCTACTAGCCTCCGCTCCTCCTCCTCTCTCTCCTCCACTCCCTCCGCTCCGCTCGCTCACTCGCGCTCCGGCGAATACCCCTACGCTCCTTCCCATCCAGCCATCGTGTCATCTCATAACGAGTACGCTGACGACAGCCACTCCGCGTATCATCAAGGGGGTCAGTTCCACTCGTACGCTTCTGGCAGTACAATCGTACCGTACGCTTACCCGCCTCCTCCTCCGCCTGAATACCCCTCCGGAATCAACCCAGCAGCCTACCCCCCTGTTGTTCCACCTCCAAACACGCGGGATCCTTCGCGGAAACCGCGGTGGTACAGGAAGGTGCCATGGCTGGCGCTGACCGTGTTAATCGCCTGCATAGTAGTCTTTATTGTGACCATGGCGGTGAATAATTGCCCGTCGAAGCCGCACCCACAAGGCCAGAGCTGCGTGCTGCCTTGGTTGGGTCGCTTCTCTTTCGAGCCGCTGAATATCAACCCTCTCCTCGGTCCAACCGCCTTAACGTAAGCGACCTGTGACTTACCACCCTACCCTTCCTCCTCCCTCCCTTCCCCTCTCTCCATCAACCCACCCCCCCCCCCCCCCCCCCCCCTTCCTCCTCCCACCCTACCCCCTCCCCCTCCCCCGCCAAGTATTTCACTCAACGTCTATTCGGTGTTTCGTAGCTGACAATTGCGCGTCTGTCGCGTATCCGTCTGGAAGTATAACCCGCCGTCGTCTCACGCCTCCAAGCTTCACAACATGGGCGCAATCAACAGTAGCCTGGTTACCAACTACTTTTGAGCCGCCTCGAGAATAATTTCGCCTAAAACTTCTCGTTCTATCATCCATATTCGTGCGTGTGTACGAACCCCCCCATTCTTCGCAACCTTCCAGGCTTCAGGAGATGGGCGCGCTGAACAGTAACCTGGTTACCAACTACCACCAGGGCTGGCGGCTGGTAACGGCGATGTGGTTACACGGCGGCGTGGTGCATCTCGTGTGTAACCTCCTCGGCATCGCCTTCCTTCTCAACCGCCTCGAGAAGGAGTTCGGCCTGTGTACGTGTGTGGTGCGGTGTGATGTGCTATGCTGTAGTGTGGTGTGGTGTGGTTAATGCTGTAGCGTGAGACGGGAAGGATGGGGGGAGAGGGGATGCGAGAAAGGGCATGGGATGAAGCTGTGTGCGGCATGGTGCGTCTCTCATCTCGTATGTAACCTCCTCGGCATCGCCTTCCTGCTCAACCGCCTCGAGAAGGAGTTCGGGCTGTGTACGTGCGTGGTGCAGTGTGGTGTGGTGTGGTGTGGTGTGGTGTGGTGTGGTGTGGTGTGGTGTGGTGTGGTGTGGTGTGGTGTGGTGTGGCGTGGTGTGGCGTTAGGCGGGATGGGTGGGGGCCGAGGGAATGTGGGGGAAGGAGGATGGAGAGGTGAGGTTAACGGGTGAGGAGGGAATTGAAGGGAAATAGTTTTGGGGGAGGATTTGGTGTGCACGTAGGCAGGGTCGAGAGGATGGATAGACAAAGGCCACAACCACCACCACCAGCACCACATGCGATTTGTTATTTCACCATGCTGCCCCCTCTCTGCCCCTTTGCATGTGCGCCGTTATCTCTTTGCTGTCCGCTCTGTGCTCTCTCCTGTGCTTTCCCCTGGCAGGGCGTCCCACGGCCATCTACCTTCTCAGTGGCGTCTTTGCTGCCGTTTTCTCCTGCCTCTTCCTCAACACACAGGCACGACCACGCCCAGCCAGTGCAAAAAAGATTTTGCAGCATGAAAGATTCACCAAAAGTCTGCAGTGCTATATGCCCCTCTCTTCCCTGCGTCACTATTCATTTGGCTACTGCAAGTGACGCTTCCAAGAATGTTCCATGTTTCATTCAGCGAATGTGCTTGTGGATTGTTCCCCCTTGCAGCGTTTTCCTCGCCCTTCCCTCCTCCCCTCCCTCTCCCCATCTCCTACTCCTCTCCCTACAGCTTCCCAACCACCCAACCTCATCCCCTTCTCAACCCCCCCCCCCCCCCCCCCCCCCCCCCCCCGAATTTACCTGGAATTGCCATTAATTCCCCGCCGTCAGATCAGCGTGGGTGCATCTGGAGCGTTGTTTGGGCTGGTGGGTGCGTGCCTGTCAGAACTGCTGATCAACTGGAAGCTCTACGACAACAGGGTACGTGGGTGCTTGCTTGAGTTGATGAGGGTGTCTTTTCATTCTCTTTCCAGCTCCTTTTCTCCAGTCCATCTTTCCCAAACCCTTTCCACCTCATTTCCACCCCTCGTTTCAACCCTTGTGTCTCTGCACAATCCAACCCTCTCCTCCCCCCCAGGGTCCCTCCCCCTTGGCCTCCCGTGCAGTTTTCAGCCCTGATGACTCTTCTCATCCTCATAGCCATCAATCTCACCATCGGCCTCATGCCCTACATTGACAACTCCTGCTTCTCCTCCCTCCCCACTTTCCCCCGCCCCCCCAGCCCTCCCTCCCCACTTTCCCCCGCCCCCCCGGCCCTCCGTCCCCACTTGGGCTCCCTACCAGTTCTCAGCCCTGATGACGCTCATCATCCTCCTCATAGCAATCAACCTTGCCATCTACGTCATGCCTTACATCGATAACTCCTGGTCTCCCTCTGCCCCCCTTCTCTCCTCCCTCTGCCCCCCTTCTCTCCTCCCTGTGCCCCCCTTCTCTCCTCCCTCTGCCCCCCTTCTCTCCTCCCTCTGTCCCCATACCCTCCCATGCAGTTCTCAGCCCTGATGACGCTAATCATCCTCATAGCCATCAATCTCGCCATCGGCCTCATGCCTTACATTGACAACTTCGCCCACATAGGCGGCTGCATCGCCGGCTTCTTCCTCGGCTTTGCTCTGCTGCTCAAACCCCAACACGGCTTCATTGACCTCCGAGATAGCTCTGGCGTGGCGACAGCGACGGCGATTGCTGTGTCGGGGGGTGATCCCGTGACTAAGAAGCATTCTACGTGCCAGGTCTACACACGGATTTTCTCCGGGATAATCTTCATGGCTCTGTAAGTAGTGCATTTCCAGGCTCACCACTCCACCTGCCAGGTTTACACTCGGGTTTGCTCTGCTGCTCAAGCCACAGCTGGTCTTCATTGACCTCCGAGATAGCTCTGGCGTGGCGACGGCAACAGCGATCAAGGTGTCTCTCGGGGATAATCTTCATGGCAAAGAGGCACTCCACCTGCCAGGTCTACACGCGGGTTCTCTCTCGCATAATCTTCATGGCTAAGAAGCACTCCACCTGCCAGATCTACACGCGGGTTCTCTCTCGCATAATCTTTCATGGCTCTGTAAGTGCACTGCGCTGCACCACTGCCCTTCCTGCATGGCGGTTCTTTTCCACTAAGGGAAGCATGACTTCTGGCACTCATTCCCCCTTCTTGCTGCATCCTCTCCTTCTCACCCCTCATCAGCACAGGCAGCAGGGTAGTGCTCGCCACCATGGGCAATATGGCTCTTGATGCACGGCACTTTCCGCTTTCCCACTGCTGCCTCCTCTCCCTCTCCCTCCCCCATCAGCTGCTGACTCACCCATGTCTGCTGCCTCCTCTCCTTCCCAACCCCAACCAGCTTCTCGCTCTGCATGGCGGTGCTATTCACCAAGGGCAACGTGCCTGCTGACCCTCCCATGCCAGCTGCTTCTCCTCCTGCTCCCCTGCTCTTCTTTTCCTTCCCACTCCCCCAACCAGCTTCTCACTCCGCATGGCAGTGCTCTTCACCAAGGGCAACGTGGCACTCAGCACTCATTTCCTCTTTCGCTGCTGCCTCTCCTTCCCACTCCCTCCACCAGCTTCTCGCTCTGCATGGCGGTGCTATTCACCAAGGGCAACGTGGCATCAGACTGCACGTGGTGTCGCTACATGTCGTGTGTGCCCACGCCCTGGTGGACCTGCGACCCCAATGCCCCAGGCACACAGGGCCAAGGGCCTGTTTGCCAGGTCAGCTTCCAGTTCTATCCTTGCCTCGCATTGCTCCCATTGTATTCCTCTTACTGCTTGCAAGTTTGTGTTTTGATCTCACTGGCGTGCCCCGAATTATTTTCGCCAATGGTGTTTTTCCGCTTTGTGCAGGTCCGGTCGTATCAAAATGGCACTGGTGCGCTGGTGTGTACTAATCAGACAATGCTTGCCGTACCAAATATCACAACAATGGCAAATTATGACCTTCGGGTGCTCTGCACTCAAGCGTGTAGCAGCTGAGGCCTTGGTAAAAGGCCACCCTTCTGGAGTATTCTCCGATTTAAGGATTCTGTTGATATCATGCTTATTGGTTTTGTTGAGCATTTGTAATTTTTGTGTCTTGGTGCTTCTGCGCTAAGAGTTTATCGAACAGAAAACAGGTCTAATGTTACGAGTGCAATTGAGCGAACGAACGAGAATTGCACTATTGAAGCAACAGAACAATGAGCCAAGGCATGAGCGAAGAATATATAGCGAAACTACAGTGGTATCGGTAATGGACTGTGGTTGTCGCGCGACGGGCCTGGGATTGAGGTTGGGAAAAGTGTCGAGGCGGAGGCCCGGAGCGTGGGTTACCCGCCGAGCCGTGAGGTCGGGGTGCGACGTGCAAAGGTGGCGGGCGGATTGTCGATGCGAGGATTGCGAGTGGTAACGGTGCTGACTGTGGTGCTACAGTGATGTACGCGTTGAGCAGGGACGCGAAGTAGGAAAAAGAGATTTTCCTTACACTACCTCCCCCCCCCCCCCCCCCTTAAGGAGGTCCTCCTTACGAAAGTGCGTGTACATTCCTGAAATTCCGGCTGCGCAGATACTCAGTGAGGACGGGGTGGTTTTCGATTCTGTCCAGGGAAACCCAATTGACTTTGGTGGGTGTACGGTCCTTCCAGCGGAGTAAGAACTCGATCGTTCGGGCTCCTCGAGGGTCGCGAACTCTGTGACTCAGGATTTTCTCGAGGGTGATGATTGGTTCAGTCGGTGGTCTTGTCATGCTGGCTGGGCGATTGCGTGGGAGTTGGCTCGTGGACGGGACGTAAGGGCGAAGCAGCCTGACGTGGAACGAGGGGCTGACGTACCAGTCAGCAGGGAGGAGGAGGTGGGCGGTGACAGGTGTAAGCATGTGGCTTATGAGAAATGGCCCACAGTATCGGGGGCGGAGTTTCGGGGTGATGGGCAGTCGGAGATTTTGGGTGTTGAGCAAAACTAAGTCGTCGGGCTGGTAAGTGACAGGTTTGCGGTGGCGGTCGGCGTTGCGTTTAGCGATGATGTTAGCTTTTTTAATTGCGTCTGCTGCCCTGGTCCGTGCTGCTTGCAAAATTTCGGCGAACTGTTGCGCGCGTGGAACCGGGTTGTCGGGATTCGGGGTCATGGGTACTGTTGGGTCTTGCCCGTAATTCAGGTAAAACAGTGACTATTGGGTCGTGGCGGATGGGGCGTTGTTGTATGCGAACTCGATGAGTGGCAGTTGCTGTTCCCACGTGTTTGGGTCGTCGCACATGGCCCGGATGAGCTGTTCCATGGTCTGATTTGTCCGTTCTGTCTGTCCGTCTGTTTCGGGGTGGTACGATGAACTAAACTGTAGTCGCATGCCGAACTGCTGCCACAGGTTCCGCCAGAAGTTGCTGGTGAATTTCGTGTCTCTGTCGCTGATGATTGATGCTGGTATCCCGTGCAGTCGAACGACGGTAGAGATGAAGAGGCAGGTTGTTTCTTCGGTTGTGATTGATTTTTTGCAGGCTGCGAAGTGTGCCATTTTCGTCAGTCGATCGACGACGACCAGGATCGCGTCATTTCCACTCGCCTCGGCCGGTAACCCTGTGACGAAGTCCATCGTCACCTGCTGCCAAGCACGCTCTGGAGGTGGGATTGGCTGCAACTGTCCCGCCGGCCGCTTCCGTGTTGACTTCATGATCTGGCAAGTGGGACACGATGCCACGTGTCGCTGCACGTCGGTTAACATTTCGGGCCAGTAATAATACCGCTGCAGCTGCTGCCGTGTTTTCTCTACCCCGAAATGTCCCGAGGTAACCCCGTCGTGTGCCTCCTGTAATAGTAATTCCTGTAGCAGTGTGTACCCTGGTACCCAGATGCGGCCGGTCCCGGCTTTTACGTAATAGACTCCCTTGGCTGCTGCGAACTGCTGCGAATTTCCTCCTGTGAAGAATGGGTCCGTTTGATATCCGTGGGTAAATAGTCCTGTCAGTAGCGGGCTGGTCTGGGCGAGTAGTATCGCGTGGATGTGGGCAGTGGGGCGGGTCAGTGCGTCGGCGATGTTCGAGGCTCCTTTTTTATAGGTGACTGTGTAGTGGAAGTTTGACTCGAGGAAATTGAGCCACCGAATCTGTCGTGGGTTGAGGTGGGGCTGTGCGCGGAGGTACTGTAGTGATCAGTGGTCTGTCCGTACTCTCACGTCTGCGCCGGTCAAGTAGCAGCGCCACACTTTGAACGCATGCACGATCGCGAGCATTTTGCGGTCGTGTATCGGGTAATTTTGCTCGGGCGGATGCAGTTTTCGTGACTCGTATGCGATGGGCTGTAGGCCGTTGCCAAAGTCCTGTAGCAGTACGGCTCCAATGGCGATGTCACTTGCGTCTGTAACAACCTCGAAGGGGCGGTGTAGGTCGGCGATGCGCAGGACGGGAGGTGAACAGAGAACATTTTTCAGGGCAGAGAAGGCAGCATGCTCTTTCTCCCCCCACGTAAAAACGACCCCATTTAGCAGTAAATCCGTCAGCGGGGCAGTCAACTGTGCCATGTCGGGGACGAACCAACGAACATAATTAACGAACCCTAAAAACTCTGCAGTTCCGTGATGTTCGTCGGGGGACGCCACGCTTTTACCGTATCCAGCTTCTTTGGGTCGATTTCAACTCCAGCCTCCGAAATAACGTGCCCCAAAAATTCTAGTTTGTCCCGAAAAAACTCGCACTTAGAGCCCTTGGTGAGTAACCGATGTTCCTCTAAAACTTTAAATAATGCTTCGAGATCCGCTAAATGCTGCTGCTTGTCGCAACTGTAGACGAGGATGTCGTCGAGGTAAACTATCACGCATTTATCTAAGAGTGGCCTAAATGCCTCGTTCATGGTCATCTGAAATGTTGCGGGCGCGTTGATCATCCCGGAAGGCATCACCGTGTACTCAAACGACCCGTACCTAGTCCTAAATGCTGTCTTGGCGCAATCCGATGGTTCGACCCGAATCTGAAGGTAACCCCCCCGTTAGTCTATTTTTGAAAACACCCGTGCTGTTCGCAGTTGGTCGATCTGTTCGTCGGCGCAAGAAATGGGGTACCGCGACTTGACTGTTACCCTGTTGAGCGCTCGGTAATCGATGCACATGCGAAACCCTCCGTCTTTTTTCGGTGTGAACAGTATCAGTGCGGCGAACGGTGACGAACTTGGTCGAATAAACTGCTTCTCTAACAAATAATCTAACTGCTTCCTCAGTTCGTCGAGCTCGGGCTGTGTCAGTCTGAACTGGCGCTGTACAGTTGGCTGTGCCCCCGGTTCTAACTCGATCCTATGATCATGCGCCCGCTGAGGTGGCAGCCCTTCCGGTAAGTCGTCTCGAAAAATCCCCGGGTACCGTTTCAACAGTTCCTGTAGTTCGGGCGGTACTGCTGCCAACAGTTTATGAAAATCGCTCGGCTGCTTCGCTTCTCCTACTATTGCTATATCTACTGCGTACACGTCAGCTCCAGCGACGACAACCCGTTTCATCGTGATGGCGTTGACGTGGACCGTTGAAGAATCGGGCGACTGCCAGCGAGGTAGCATGACCCAGTTACTGCTATTTCGCACAGTGCAGCTACCCGTCGTCCAGTCGATTCGTGGGTTGTACCGTCGTAGCCAATCACGTCCCAGTAAAACATCATGCCCATCCAATGTCGTCGCGAGCATTTCCTGTGTAAACCCGAATTTTCCTCCGCAACGAACTTTTACTCTCTCTCCACCTTCTCCCGTATGGCTAGCGGCGTGCCGTCAACCAAGCGTGCGTCGATCTCAGGTAAGCAGCGACTAAGTGTCAATTGTAATTTTCGCGCAGTTGCGGTATTAACTAAACTCTGGATTGCTCCTCCGTCAATAAAAATCTTCACTGCTGCTCCCTGTATTTTCCCGTGGATCGGTACTGGGCAATCCGTCATTGTACCCTCCTTATTTATCCGAGCCCGATCGATGGCGTGAATCGTGCTGTGACTCGGTGAGGGTCGGTGCGGTTGGGCGAGCAGGCAGTCTCGTCAGTAGTTGGCCCAACTTCTACTGACTGCTGGCGTTTCCCTGCCTCTGAGACTCCCTCCCCTGCTCTACTCCGTGGCGCCTTAGCTCCTCTGGGCATTCGCTCTTGCGATGGCCCGGCCTGTTGCAAGCAAAGCAGCGCCCCTTAAACGGTGCAGCAGCTGCATTCGTTGCAACAGCGTTTACAGTGGCATGCTCGATCGGTCCCCGAGGACGATGTCTGTAGTAGGACCCCGGTCTCGGTCGGCGTAGAATGTCGATTTTCTCGGCGAGCGCGAGAATCTCGTTGAAGTTTGAGAGTCCGTGCAGCATGATTTTGTGCGAGATACCCGGCTTCAGCACTCCGCCGTAAAGGTCCACCCGCTCCGCTTCGTGCATGTAGCTAACCTGCTCGCAAAGTGCGAGAAAACCGCTCGTGTAATCTTGAACCGACCCGAGCTGCCGCCAAGTGCGCAATCTCTGACGCGCCGAAATAGAAGTCGCGATCGGCTCGAAGCGCGCCCGAAGCCCTGCATCCCACGTGCTGTATTGGGCGGTCTCGCTGAATGAACTCCAGGTGGCAGCTGGACCCGTGGGCCCTTCCTCTTGCGATGGTGGCTCGTAGGCGCGTGGCGACGTCACGATGACTCGCCACCAGTCCATGGCGGGGCCCCTTAACAGCGAAACGGCATACCGAATCTTCGCTGCGTCCGACTCGACGTAATTCGCGTCGAAGAAGACGTTCATCGTGAAAACCCACGATTGAACCGTCGGGCCTCCACGCTGGCTCGGGTTGAAACAGGGCGGGCGTTGCGGCTTGAGTGGCATTGGTGCCATGATGGCCTATTCGCCACTTGTCGCTGCGAACTCCACGTGCCGACGGACTTCGCGAGGCTCCCGCGGGCTTGGCGCGCCCCTGTTTCCTCCCATGCCAGGCATTGGTTGGGCGGCGCTATCACTGGTTGCGCCCGAGCGCTGTCCCACGCTGTCGTGTTGTGTTGGTGTCCCGGACGAGATGACGATTGGCT